GGACCTCTACATTTCTGCTTTGTGTTATATACAGGTAGTCTTTGACTTACAACAGTTTGTTTAATGACCGATCAAAGTTACAATGGCACTGAAAAAGTGATTTATGACTGTTTTTCACACAACCATTGCAGCATCCTCACAGTCATGTGATCAAAATTCAGATACTTGGCAACTGACTCATATTTATGACGGTTGCAGTGTCCCAAGGTCATGTCACCTTTGGCGACCTTCTGACAAGCCAAGTCAATGGGGAACCCAGATCCATTTAACAACTACAACTACTGTAACTTAACAACTGCAGTGATTTACTTAACAATTGTGGCAAGAAAGGTCATAACATGGGGCAAAACTCACTTAACAAATATCCCACTTAGCAACAGAAATTTTGGGTTCAATTGTGGTCGTAAATTGAGGACTACCTGTAATGAAATAGCATAAGATTGCATATTTTCATTCTCTCTCTCTCTCTCCTTTTCTCCATGCCCCTTCCCCGTCATTCACTAACACAAGACAATATAATGAAAACGCTACTCAAAATAAAGTCCTAATATCCAGAAATAACCGGAATATTCTATTCCGTAAAGCTATATAAACTGACTTTTTGTTGTTTTCCTCTGCATATTACATCAGCATTTATGCATCAATAGATGCACTATGTGTAACATCCAGAATATGTACATTATGAGACAATCTATGCATCCTGAAGGGGGCATGGGTGGTTCAGTTTTCTATATTTCTTTTCTATATTCAGGGTTGTATTTGGATTAGGATAGGACTAACAGATTTGTGGATTCCAGATTCTCCTGCTCCCATTAGTTTATCTAAAACGTATGGGTCATTTTATGAAATATTAAATGCTTTCATCTCTTTAAATGAAACAGAAAATCAAATTTCAATCCAAATCCTGCCAACTGTAAGTCAGGATAGGCAGGCAAGACACTTAAAGGGACTGGATCTAAATTATGGCAAGTATTAACTGTCAATATTTAAAAACATTTTATTCTTGAGGAATTCTTGTTTATCTGAGGCAAAGTAGCATAATATCCCTGGGTAGAAAAGAGAATGTCAGATAATGAAATACTGTTTCCTCAAGACAAATTTCAGTTACAGGATATGGATAAACTGGAACAGACATCATCATTTTGAATCATCGTTTTTACTTTTCATGTGTGTCAAAGAAAGAAAAAAAAAGCAGGATTCAATCATACTCTCACGGACTACTTTACTTTAGGTAGCCATTAGTTTCCCAAAGACTTTATGTGAAATGCTATGAATTGCTAATTTGTCCTGATTGTGGAAAATAAAGAACTTTATTGTGGAAAATTATTATGCAAATATTGAGCTGTATATTGAACACCGGATGCATGTAAAAAATAGTATTTCCTATTACCTTGTAAAATGTCAGAACTGTGATTTTTATTTGGATGAGAAGAGGACAGTGCTATTTTTTATAACTTTTACAATGCCTCAGTAATGTATGAACTAATATTTTCCGGAGTAAGAAGAAGCTATTTATACATCACAAGTACATTTGGCATCTGCCTGGCTGCTAAGAATAGGCATGGATTGTTCTCCAACTGTTAGATCAGGGCCAATTCTAGAACGACTTTGTAGGACATTCTTTTAGTCATTATTTCTCCTGAGATTACCTCACAATGGAGTGATTAAAAGCATTGTGAATTTGCCCTTTTATAAAATCATCCCAACATTATATGAATTATGTCTTTGTTATCCAGTACAAATAATTCTTTACATTTCATACCGAAAGTGGCAAAACAGTAAGGTCTATGCAAGAGAATTTTGAAACATAACTGGTTTTAAGTCAAAAACTTTTCAGATTAATACATTTCACAGGAAATATAGTTTAGGAAAACTCTTTTTTTTAAGTATTGCATATTTTTACAACCAAAGGCAAGCAAATAATGTTTACAACATGGAAAAACCAATCTCAGATTAAGATCAAGAGTTTAATAATTACACACTTTTTACATTATGAAAATAAGTCATAAATAGTGTAAAAATAATTCTGAAGTTCAACTTCTCACAAAGTTGGGACAAAAACCAAATACAAAACTAAAACAGGAGCAATTAAAACATTTATAAGCATAAAAAGAACCCGAATTTTTTTTTTTAAAGAAAATGATTCATCCTATTTGATAAAGCTCATTCTTGCTTTAATTCTTAACCAGAGGCTACAACAATATAGAAATTAATATCAAATAAAAATGGTGGCTTAAATCTTGCAACTATTTACACAGACATATTGTTTTTACCATGATATTATACCTAGAATGTGATAAGAAAATGGCTTACATTATTAATGATTTCTTCCAAGCAGGAATAATTTTCTGCAAATGACAGATTTCTGCTTTTAACAGATACCATTATGAAATATGGAAATACCTGCACATAAAGATACATTATAAAAAAGTAAAAAAAAAAAATCAAATAAAATACAATATTTTCCAAAAGAAGCAGACAAATAAACAAAAACAACAACCCAACCCCAAACCAGATACATACACCTTTAAAAACAGGTTGTAAATTATTATAGTTTCCCAACATGTACAATGGCATAATATCCACAATGAACAAGCCCAACATGTATGAACATTAGAGAAAATTCTCATTTGTTCCATTTCACTTGTTCAAGATAGTGGCCCAGGACAAACTCAACGTAAAGAATATGTAAAAAAACATACATTTACCCGCAAATGAAATGCTTTTAAAATATCACCAGTATTAAATACAACTGTGGAAACTACTAAATTTTAATTTAAACATATAAAGTAAGACTGAATAAGGCCCCTGTTCTCTAAAGAAAAAGAAAGGTGCCTTTCAAATAGTATTTTTTAAAAGAATGCTTTTCTGTCTTTTTCCATTGTTAATTGTTTTGAAAACTTTGTCTTATGTTCAGAGAGCTGTACTGAGAAAACATTTTTCTATATCTAGCCACATTTGGATAGGCTGAGAAAACCATTTCAAATTTAATTAGTACTTTACCATTCAAATCAATATGAATGAATTATTTAGTTACTAGCTGTGGTTGTTGTTTTAACCCACCATGATCCAAAAGGTTTTGATGGGTTTTTGCTACATTGCCATATAGGGGGGAAAAAGGATAAGGAAAAAAAAACCTTCAGCATTTAATAGCAATATTAATAGCTGAAATTCCAGAATAAAGAGCCTGCTAACTTCTCATAATATATTTTTTCCTAAGGTATAGTATACCTTATTGTGTGAAAATTATAAATCATTAATAGACAAAAGATACAGATGTGCAACTAAAATCACATAACAAAATAATAATGATAATTAGGAGGCTTGCAAACAAAATGTCTAATCTTAACTTTATATATCTGAAGATGTCTGTTATTCCATTTCCACTTAAAATTATGATACAAAACAGTTCTATTATACAAACAAATCGAATAACATATTCTTATGGCTAACAATACCCTATAAAAACAAGGCTTCCATCCAGGCATTGCAACTGGCCATCAGGGATGTCCAACTTGATTCCTAGATTGTCTCTGGCCTATTTCTTAAAGTGTCTTAATATTTTGGCACTTTTTATTTCAGCAAAAGTGAGGCATTCAAACAGATTTTCAGGATTGTACTTAATACTGTCTGGGGAGGACATTATTCAAGTTTTAATGACACATGTAAAGGTAAACAGGAATAGTTACCTTTTTCAGTGCTTCTCTTTTTAATAGTTTATAAATAGTAAAGAACAGAGTACATGCTATCACTTCAGAGCATAGGCCAAGTATCCTTGAGGTGATTAACCTCACCACAAGAGAATATCTCTGCAAGTCCACTACTATACATATAGTTTTCTTCTTATCCTGCTATTTACTGAATACATTAAACAGGTTGCTGGGAGAGATTTTGGTATACTAGATCAGGGCCCCCCAACCCCTGGTCTGTGGACCAGTACCGGGCTGCGGCATGCCAGCAACCGGTCTGCACAAACAAGCAAAGCCCCATCCATGGGATGCAGGCAGAACTCAAACTCACCCACTCTCTGGTCAGCGGAAAAACTTTTCTCCACAGAACCAGTCCCTGGTGCCCAAAAGGTTGGGGACCTCTGCACTAGATAAGTGATATTGCTATTGCTATGCTTTTTATTTATATAGTGCAGAGCAATATATTAGTCTGTTTTTCTAAACTAGCAATGAGATAAAATCAGGAAAGGAAATATTTAAACATTAGATATTATGAACTATAGTTGACACTTTATCCCTACTACTTCATCTTCTACATATGATACTTTGCTTTGTGGACATGAAAATGAAATACCTTATGGAATTTCAGAAAGATTCATCAAAAATATGTTATTTCTTTGTACCTATTAAAAACAGTACCCAATAAATATTGGCGGGAGAGAAAACTTCCAAAGATAAAGTAATTAAGAAAGTTAGAAATTGGAAATAAAAACAAAAATAGGTAACGAAAAACCTTTATCATTGTAAGATAAAAATGAGCATGTTTAAAAACAAAAGAAAAAAATGCAATTTAAACTGTAATATATTAGCATAAATGACTAATTTGGAGGAGCTTTGCAAGAAGAATAGAAAACATTTTAGCACCAAACTAATTCTTAAATATCAACATAAAGGCACTACAAGTCTTCAGAAAACAACTACATAGCCAGACTAAGCACATTTTTGTTTTTAACAGGCATTTTTAGGAATCATTTCAGGCACCAGTTTGATATCTCCCTTTACTGCTCTTCAAAATCCAACTAGTCAAATTATCATGTAGATTTATCACAATGATATCAATATAATGGAACTTATTTTTAACAATATAAATCAGAATTAATCAATGAATAGCCTAAAACAGCAAGTGTTTTTTTTTTAAAAAAAATAAAATAAATCAGCAAACATTTCCAATGATTGCTGTAGCTGGAAAATTACAGCTGTTATAAGAAAAATTGCTGCTTCTGTTAATTTATGGCTATATGCTCATATTCTCAATTCAAATATTGTTAATTTCTACACAGACTGCACAGATGGAAATTCTTTTCCATCAACCTGCACACAGATTGATAAGCATTTATAAGTGTATAATTTTACTTTAAAATTAGTAATTGATATCCTATCATTAACTCTTTTAAATGTAAACTGAAAAATAAACTAGCAAACAAATCAGGTCATAGGCCTGATTTGTGAAGGGGTCTCAACAGCCATTTTTTATTTTTTATTAGTATGCTTACCAGCTATAGGGTAAATCCACATTTTTGATATTTACATGCAGCCCAACTATTCTGCTTTCTCATCTTGTATTCATAGATAGCTAGTATTACTAGCTTTACAAAAAGAAAGGTAACGTTTAATAAGACTATAAGGAACACTCTTAGTCCCAGGTATTTAATTTTATATGTAGATTCCTATGAAATGGAGGAAAAAGAATTTTTAAAAATACTTTGTAAATGGCACATCTGAACACCTAAATTTATTTTTTAACGGGCCATTCAGGTTATAATGACCCTCATAAACAATCTAATGCCCAGTGTTCGGGCATTATGCTTACATATGAATAATGTCTGACCAGATCTAAAATTAAATGATTAGGGTTTGAGATGATAGAATAATAAATAGTTTACATTACAGAGAAATGCATAAAAGATCGTAGGAAAAGGAATGGCAGAAGCAGGAAGCAGATTCAAAAGAGGAATCAGCCTACAGTTTCTATGTAGCCATAAAGTCCAATCCCTCTTGAATTCTGTTGACTCTTATCTAATGCTAAAATACTGCTAACCATTAATTAAATAGATTCCTATGCAATAGGAATGAGTAGTAATAAATCAGTTTAATTGGAACTTCATGTATGGTCCTCATCTTACATGTCTGACAAAGGTTAATATACAGGAAGCCTATGGATGGAATTCAAGATTATCCATCAACTAGAAATAAAAATGGATAAAATTGTTTCTCTTACTACCACTAGCTTCACAGACTTCCCTCTTTTTCCTGGATAATTGGAGGACTCTTAGGGAGATTTTGAGGAGGGAAATATTCTATGCAAAAAGAGAAAAGGATTTCTATCTTACAAACAAATATCTGCATTACACGGGAGAAAATATCTGTTAATATATACTAAAATATTTGTATATATGTATGTGTACACAATTATACATGCATACACAGACTAATTTCTCTTAGTTTTTGCATTTCAAAAATTTTAATTCTACCTTTCCATGCAGATAGGACAAATTTTAATAAAAATATAAGAAAACCATAAGAAAATATTTAGTAAAAGCAGGCATTCATTTCTCTGAATTTCCTGAGCACTAAATTATTCTCCTCTGCTGTTGAGAGGTTATCACTGAAACACTGAAAAACTTGCTAAAATGTTAACATGAAAGCTTCAATATTGAAAAAAAGATCATGTTCCCCAAAAAGTAATAGGAAATTTTATCAATACTGTTTTATTAATTATTATTATTATTATTTAAATTTATTGGTCACCCATCTCCAGTGGATTCTGGGTGGTGCACAAATGGTCTGTAAACAAAATAATTAAATTAAAAAAGGAAGTAAGGGGTATACTAAAGTAGTACTGAAATTTAACTAATATTTGGTATGGTGATAAATATAATTCCATTTACAAGCTGATAAAAATGACATTTTGCAACAATGGATGTTTATTTGTTAATCTAATTTTAAAATATCCCACTGACTTTTTTGAAAGGGTATGGAATTTCTTATTTGGTCAGACCTTTAAAACATTGCAGAACATTCATCAAATGTAATGACCATATTTTCCACTCCCCCAGGAAATTAATTAGCAACATTAATTAGCTTCTTAGAATGTCTACAAGCATACATTTGAATATAAGCTTAAATATAAAAATATTAAATAGAAGGGTTCAAAACAGAGAAATGAAATATTTTTTTAAAAAAGAATAAGATGAAAATAGCAATACATTTGAGATACAAGGTAGCCTATACTGTAGCTCCTACCAATTCCATATTATTTGGGTCATGATGTGGAATAATTTTTAAAAAATGAATAGGTCAACAAAAATCCTTTACTTTTGGAGAAGCTAAAAAAATGAAACACAAATATGTTCTTCAAAACCTGAATGTCTATAAGCATGAAAGCAAAGGAGGCTAGTACATTTAACCATTGATCAATTATAATTAAATATATTCTTCAAGCCCGTACACGCATATGCCATTGACCAGGAATTTCTAAAATCCAAATGGTAAACCATGAAAAGTCAACTGCATTTCATTATTTTAGAGGAAGGCATTTTATAGTGACTTTTGTCAAAGCACTTCTTCTTATCACCTTGAAAATACAACATGTGAAATACATATTGTAGCAATCTTTGAAGATTACATTGTCCACCAGTTGATACTAAGACCTATCATTGAATGATCCATTTGATGTCTCTGCAACTCAATCATCTTACTCATAAAGCAGGATCTTCTTCTTTCATTCTTGGTAAAATAATCCAACATGTGTTGAAATCCATGCTTCTTGACTGTGAGCAATGCAAGCAAACAGAGGCTGATGAACAGGTATCATCCTTCTTCTTTTTCACAAAGATGGTTTCACCCAGAAGACTGAAAGCCATCCACCATCAGAAGGAACCGAAGTTCCCTCCAAATTCAAGAGCTTTGTCTTAATCTCCTCGTATCATTTTTTTGCAATAAGCCATGGTGTGACTCCCTTGAGATGATAGAAAGAACAATTTAATGTGTCAAGTGAAATCGGCAGCAAGCAACCATTGTAGCATATGACAGCAAACCACCATTGTAGCACAACAAGCTGTTTTAGCACAAAAATCATGCTTTTGCTCAAGCAAGTTTGGGGAAATGGAGCAATGATAGAGTTTATGAGGGTGAACATGGCAACAGAGTCATTATATTCCAGTGGCAATCTGTTATTGAGTTCATATATGGTCACAAACTAATGTAACCTAATTCAGGGCATTTCTTCTCCATGCTTGTCCACAAGCCAAATAAAACAAGAATGCAACCAAAAATAAAAGTAATGTAAAAATATGTAAAAAAAGAAAACAATTTAAATGTCTATGAATGATCACTCTGTTGGGATTAGCTCTATAGACAGAATATTTGGATTCTGTACATTTATTGCACAGTTTATATTTGCCAGATTGCAGCCATATGTACACATGACTACTACAAATAAATAGAAGCAGTGCTATGTAAACATATTTCAAACTTGTAAAACCAATGCTTCCATTTTCAATTATAAATACAGGAGGTGATGTATTATATACACAACTTCATGCTTGCAAAGTTAGATTCATCACTGCAAAGAAACAAAGAAAAACATTTTAGCAATATTAGTAGTATTGTTCAAAGGCACGTTTCAACTGTATAAATAATACTAAGCTGGATAAAGAGATATATAAAGGAATTCTTCCCTCAGAGTAAAGTTTTCTCAGCTTATAGGAGTTAAAAGAGGGAAGAGTTTTTTCCTTCTTTCTGCAGCAGTACTGACAACTGGTTAGTAAAGGGATACCAACAATGCTTTTTTCTTCATTTGTTCATGTTATTTCCTTGGGTTAACAGACGTCATTTAGCTTACTGATGCTTGATGGTATATAATATTGAGAGATTAAAAAGTAAGCATAAGAATATTTGAGTGATCTCACCTTTTGCCAGCAACCGGGCATTGGTAACCCATCTGGCCCCTGTTTGAATAAGGCAAATCAAAGTATACTGTTAAGTTTGATAATACACCTCACCAATGTTAACATCATTTCATGCCTCAATTGTACTTTAGGAAAATGAGCAAAATTCAAATAATATAACATATGTAGTGCATGGCAATTTTTGAAATTCTTATGTATATAATCATATGTTCTCCATGCTTGCAGAAGAACAATTAACTGCAACCAAACTACTGTACAACTAGTTGAAGTCAATTCAGAGGAACACCATACATTAATAAATGCCTTATTCCATGCAAATGTATTTATGACTTTGATCTATATATATATCAGTGATAATGGATGAGAGTTAAAATCCCAGTCATGTTATAGATCTCCTGGTTTTGAGCAGGATTAGTTAGTCCTCCTCAAGAAAATAAGATAGACTTGGAAAAATATAAAATAACCAAAACAACCTTCCATGAGCAAGCATTGTTTTTGTCTGGAATGCACTGGGAATTTTGGGAATTACTCTCCCAAAATAATATAGTTTAGCTATACTCAAACTTAATGGCATATTTTCAATAAGCAATGTTTGAAATTAAAAGTATATGAAGAAAAACCAAATAAATATAACTTCTCAGAAATTATGGCAAGTTAATGTCCATAACTGATATTGGTAGACATTATTAAGCTAATATGGAAGCATTGGAAGCATATGGAAGCTAGCGTGATTGGATTTACATTTATAAAGTAAATGCTTAGGTTCTTATGAATGCAAAAAATCCTCCATTTCCTACTTGGAAACTTAACCTACAAAGTCTCCTTCAGCTAGTATGTAAGACGGGGCCTGTGGACTACTTTGTCTCTTTGTTGTTTGAAAACTGGATATTTTTTAACGAGACAGAGTAACTATCTTTGACTAAACTCAGAAATTTTGTTCAAATAAATTTAGTTCTATTGTCTTAACTATATTTTGATTTTAAATAGGGAGACTTCATTCCAATTAACTTTATACCAATTATATCAGAGTCAACATAGTGTATCTGTGCAATATTGCAAACAATGGCATATCATTGTTCTGAGGGATATCTTTGTTCTGGAGGATGACAGATCAAATGTTATTCCAACTATAAGATATTGTAGTATGTTATCAGGTACTATTAAATCTAAGAATTTGGATTTGATAATTAACGTATTGATAATTAACGGTTGTGGGATTGTATGTACATAGAATCACTACTTGAATATATGGAGAAGCTTTATGTTACAGTATTTGCTCGCAAATTATAAGAAAAACCCAATGAAACATATTGGCAAAGTCTAGACCAGGGGTAGGCAACTTGGCTCTTTTATGATTCGTGGACTTCAACTCCCAGAATTCCTGAGCCAGCCCTGGCTCAGGAATTCTGGAAGTTGAAGTCCCTGAGTCATAAAAGAGCCAAGGTTGCCTACCCCTGGTCTAGACAGTTGTGTAACATTTACTTGAATGTTAGGATAATTTCCCCTCCTTAGTTTATAACTTGATAATTTAAATAAATAAAGTTTGAGGTAGTGAGTATGGCATCAGGATAGAAGCTAGGAGAGTGTGAGTTCTAGTGCTGCCTTAGGCACAGAGTCAGTTGTATGACCTTAGGCTAGTTACTTTCAGCCCTAATAAGGAGGAAATGGTAAACTACTTCTGAAAAACTTTTGCAAGAGTACTGCAGGGACTTGACCAGGCAATCTTCAAAAATTGCACATGGCTGAGTAGAAGAGAAAAAAAACCTGCAATAAACATCAAAAAGGGCTAAGCAAAAAGTTGCTAATAGCAGATAGTTTTAACTGATTTCCAGACAGAAACAATACTGTACTCAGTCAAATATACTTCAAAGAATTATGAAGGCATGCGTTATTTATTTGCAATCAAATATATAACAATAGGTTATTGTTAAACAATGACAAACAAAATAAAATATGGACTTTATACTTAAAGAGTTTCCTGACAATTTAGATTACAGATGTGCTTAAAAAAATCAACTTAACTTTTCCATCCATTTTTAGAGAATCATGCTTAAACTACATACAGTATCAAAACATGCAGATCAAATATATCTACACTTTAAAATGTTTTTGGCATTTTCTAGATATGTGTAGATAATGATGATTTTTTAAAAAGAAAACATATTTTCATAATATTGAAATGTTTGCCAGATTGGTACAAGGGAAAGGGATCAACAAGTAGAATTTTAGTATAGGTAGGTGCTTGAATTCATGCTAACAAAGAGTAGGGAACTGTTGTATGTATTGTGGGAAATTAAGATCCAAAGGAAAGACTGTTATGCTGAAAACATTTAAGAAACAGACAATAAGTGCTTTGGGCTGCAGGCCATTAATTCCTTATGAAGGATTTATAAAGCTTATTTTGAAGTGAACATAACATTGCAATTTGTAGGAGATGTGATCGTGTGAATAGCAGAAAGAAATATTCAAAAATATTTCCTGTCAATATAACCTACATGGCTATGTAATTCTATGTAAGAATATTTATACCTAATTTTAATAATCTTGGGCTCAATGTATCCTTTGTTAAACTGAGGGTAAACTACCAATCTCAGTTGGTGTGTCCCATAACTAAATATGAATCTAATCCAGAAATTGCAGAACAAAAGCTAAACTGAGCATTCCAGTTAAACTGCCTATTGTAATGCATTATATCATTCCCCTCCATTACTGTAGGTAAATTCTGCACTTTTTGAACTGTTTGTATTCATCCTTAAGCACACAGTGGATCTGTCTCCCTGTCATCTACAGGTATCTATTAGGATAAGCAGAAGGTCAAGCATGGAGATAATGCTAGCTCCAGGTCATACTTTCCACTTGTTCACTCACTTTTTTTAGCTTCCTTCTGTACACTTGCCCAAAAGCAAATAGCAAATCAAGTTTTCAATTTCCTTATTTGCTTAATGAAAACAGATGATAGTCAAAGCAAATAAATGGAATATCACGAACAGAAACCCCAGAGATTGTCAAAGGACTTGTGTGGACATTAAGAGTTCCTTGCCTAGGTTGGCTGTTCATGCCCTCCCTGCAAAAAGGTAATAGGAATAGACGTGTAAGATAGATTACTTGTTTGAGAGATATGTATTCCCAGGGAAGCCATACCTAGAAAAGTATCACTGGTTATACACTTATGTGCTTTGAATGAGATTTTCTCTTCTTTTCTTAGGCATGTATACTTTGGAGTCCTTGGTGGTTTGTGAGCTTGGTTGTTTGCCTGCACACATTTCATTACATAATCAGTGATAGTAAGTGTATGGTTTCCTCCCTGTTTATATACAACAGCTTATCCTGTCACTGTTGGTGGGAGTTGAGCACAAACCCGACACTCACTAGTATGGTGATGTTACCTAGTTGGATAATGAAATGTCTACAAGCAAACAACCAAACTCAGGGAGCACAAAGGGCTCCACAGTTTAACCCTGAGGTTCTCTTCTATTAGAAGCATATACTTTATTACTCCAGTGCCATTTTTTAAAAATAAAGAACATGGAAATATAATTGATTCAAAATCATAAAACCCATTTATGAGTGAGGTCAGATGGAATTCACACTTAGGGGCTGGGCAAGTATTAACATGATATATGATATCAGTAGTTTAGTCATGGGATATTGTGGAACTACTCTGTATCAACAAAGAGGGCAATTTCATTAATATTAAATATGGCAGAACATGTTTTATTGGCGATGGGAAGGAGGGGAAGAAAGACAACTATCTTAAGTAGAAAATTGCACTTGACTGCAGATGTTGGAGTAAAATAACTTCAGAACCATTGTGCAATGTAAATACGACTTGCCAATATTATACTGCTGATGTTGAGAGGTGGAGTGATCTCTGGATACTGTTATCATCACCAAGGCAGGCCACTTTGATCATGCACATGCATGTATGGGGACATACAATGCAAAGTCTGGTTACTGTGAACTTTACATTGGAAACAGCTGATTAGAAATGTAGGAATCACATGCAGGGTTGGAAGGAAAGAGCAATACTGTACCAATTGGCAAGGGGCATCCAGCCCATCCAGACCAGGTTGGCCTGGCTCCCCTTTTTCCCCCTTAATTCCACGGAATCCCTGTTTGTAAAGATTAACTTGCAACGTTACTAAGAAATGTCTTTTACATCAACTTTGCTGGAACAAGCAAATAGAAAAAAGAGGAGCAAGCTGACCGGAAGAGGAACACAGTAAAATGTCGGTGCTTCCATTCTTAGATTTGTAGCTGAACACATGATCTATATGGCAAATATGAGTTTGCACATGAGCCACTGCACCACAAATTATGGAAGACTCTTCCATTAGCAACAATTTGAAAGAATATTTTACATGGAAATAGGTCAAATCATGATTATGTTTAAAGTGCATTATGACTTTAAATGAATAACAACTTTGCTCAAATTGTAGCTTGCTCCTCTCTGCAGTGTGACAACTTGTTATATTATCTACTGTAAGAGGAGACATTTCCAAGAGATGAGTGAGACATACCAATGGACAAGGTGCATCTAATCCAGGGGCACCCTGTTCTCCTTTCTCCCCTTTAGGCCCCTTTTTGCCTTTCTTTCCCTTTTCCCCCTGTGAACACAATGGTTTGGATAAAACACATTTTATTCTTTTTCAGGGAATCAAAGAAATCTGTTTTAAAAGTTTTTGTTTAATAGCCAATGGAGGGTTGAAAGGACACTTACCACTGTGTTCTAGTTTGCAGGATGCATTAGGTAAAAAAATAAGTTATATGATGATCAGAAGCATTAACTGCATCAGTTTGGTTATATTGCTCTTCTGAGTTAATGCAATAATGATGGGCACTTTGAATTCTAAAGCAGGACTTGTAATTGTGAATTAGATTGATTTTTTTTTTCATCCTAAGGGGTCATCAAAAACTTGCCAGTCATTTAAAAACAAGGGAGTTGTGCTACTTTTCCTAACGGTTGTGTTGGGTCTGCTTTCCTGGCCTTGATTTTCTGCAAGAAGATAACTGTTTTCCTCAGATAGATTTACATCTTATGGGGAAGAACTTTCTACTTATTACATGCATTTAGAGGCAAGTGTCTCTCAGTATCACTGACATTAGATAGTAAGACCCTGTCCACAAGGACTTCCTCTTTTTTCCAATGGAAGAGAAAATTCTTTGCACATATCAAGCTGCTCATCCTTACAGAAACTCTACCTCTATCTATGTGGACACAATCCCAGTTCAGAATAATCTCAATATATATTGAAGACATCAGTTTTAGCGCTAGATCACCTTTTTCCAATCTGGTGATGGGGTTTCTTTCTCAGAAGAAATCCCCAATGATGTTACAAAAATGTTACATCTCAATGTTCTAAACTGGATGCACTGTTTAGAACAATAAAGGGCATGTATTAGGGATCAGCTTTCCCCAAACAGAATCATAATAGAAGATAAAGTCCTGTTTAACACAACTGAAAGGCATTAAGTTGGGGAAGCAAATCAAGAAAATTAAGTGATAAAGTTCAAATTCCTTGGCCAAAACTGTAAAAGGATTCTGAACACCCATGTGTCTCAATCTAAAGTATTCCGATGTGTTTCCAAATTAGAGCTCTATATTCTATTGGCCTTCTTCCTAGATTAAAATATTCATATGCCTAAATTAGAAACATTTTTGTCTGAAAGTAAACATTATTTCAAAGAAAATATGCAATATTTAGTTTGAGACTTAAGAGCTTTCTGTAAACAGATACTTGGAGACAAGAACAGCTACCTGAGAAAAATGACTTTATCAGAAGGCAATGGAGGACACGTTTGAGAACTAATTTAGAATTGTTTTCACACCTGATCAGTTACAATGGCAAATGAGTTTCAGGCTCACAGTCCTTAACAAAACCAAAAGTGACTCTATTTAAACACACAGATAGACACAAATTAAGAATATTACTGTAATGGAGAAACAACAGAAAGACAGTTAGTAGAACTAAGGAATGATTATCAAGGTCTAAGCTGTAGGAAGGATTTAATTTGCAAGGAAAAGGATAAAAAAGACCAGATGGATTTTAAGGAAAAAAGGTAAGAGAAGGGAGAAATGCACCTCTGGAAAGGCAGAAAAGATTAGAGTGGCATATAAGGAATAGACAGTCACTCATTTTCACATATTTTCAAAAATATGCATCCATTTACAGCAGAAAATAAATATTTAGAATAGTTGCTTTGTAATGTTGTAATATTTAATATTTCATTGTCTAAAGCAGTGCATTCTTAAAGTCTCTCGATGAATCCTCCCTCCAAAATTAGAACCAACTATTGTACTAACATATATTTAAAAAGTGAAATTGCACAAAATGCACAAGGTACTATGGCATAAGACAAAACATTTAATGAGCGTCAAACACAGTTTCATGGAGAGATATACTGTATTATATCCTACAACAAATATTTATTCATCAGTTTCAGCAGTAGGCCAAAATATGATGAACTTTAAAAATGGTGAGGGAAGCTCCTAGCAGTAACTGAACAATTGCAGATATAACCCAGAAACTATGAGTCAAAGGAATTAACTATGAAACACTTCACTTCCATTTTGCTTAGATCAACCTGACAGACTTTATCTTTAATATTGGTAATTTAAGTTCTACTTTAAAAAGGACATTTCTCCAAATATGAGTTATAAATGTGCTAACTCTGAAAAATAAGATGGAGTGCTTTGTGTGCCACTTTGAGCTGGAAGGGAGGCATGAGTAAATAATAAAGATATTACAGTACATAGAAACAAAAGGAGTTCTTAGAAAAGGAAAATAAACAAACCCTGATTGTATATTCTGATCAAACCATGAATCAGAAGAGTCAACAAAAATGGATTAGAGTAACTTGAGAGGACAATAAATGGAAAATAAATTGGGCCTTTTAATCTTGCTTATGCAAAAATATGGCTTCCCACACTTTTCAAATTTGTCAGAGAATAATTATGTGGAACATTTTTATTGATACAAGATTTAGAATTAGTCTTAATATTTATGAGTTTTAAATAGTATACTAAATAACCATATTAATAAATTTTAAGAGCAAAATTTAGTCTAAATATTAGTTCCCTGTTTCCATCTAGAATATCTAGGAGTAATTATTTAGCTTTAAAAGCAAGTTCATCTCGCACTTTGGTACAATTGCCTCCATAAGACAAATTTTCACCTGACTGAACCAGTCCGACCTTCTTTTATAATTAGCTCAGCCAGCAAATAAATGGTGACTGGGAAAAGCAAACATCAGTCAATGATATTGTCTACTATGATGCAATACTATTCTTTCAGGATTGATATCCTAGTTCTCTAAACTGTAACAGCTCTTCTTTAAACAGCTCTTGCTTAAACATGTAAGCATATATTTTAGTTTTCAAAGCTATATTTTGTTATTCTATGGGCTCCATCTTATTTTTCTCAAGCTGATTTTGGAGATCTTCCAATTTTCTCTGAACCAAGTGGCTCTGAGGTTATGACCACATAATATGCTTACTGACATTTAAGTTAAAATTCTGGCTGCCTAAATTACCTTGATATTTGCACAATACACAGAATCGATAATTAACCACACAGGTAGGAGGCACACAACAGACTGGGGTTTAATGTCTAATCTAGTGCTTTCCAAACCTGGGTAATTACCCAAAATTGGATAAAAGTGTTTTTTTCTTGGATAATGACTGATGAACCCATTACCCAATCACGACAGGAACATTTAAATAAGGACTTTCAGATAAGCAGTAACAGGACTTTTTGATAAGTGGTTTTGGGTAATGAAGGAAAAAGTTTGAAAAAGCACTGGTCTAATCTGTGACACAGTACAGTAAAGTGTGAATAGCCTATTAGTTATTATAAGAAGTGTCTTTTTTCATTCACTTCAACCCAGCTCTAAATCTAGTATGTTTGATAGAGTTATAGGGTCTGCAATTATATTTATGATCTCTCATGGAAGCATACATTTGTAGAGCAAAGTAAATTGGAAGAAATTCACAAAATAGCTTGGGGGGGAATGGAAGTTACCACTATTATTAAAATTTACTGCACTGAAAACTTTCTCTCAACCTCCCTGAATATCCCTGCTGTACTCTTTTTATTGCTAAAAATGCTACACTTTGGAAATACTTTACTCTGCTTTATCCTAAACCAGTTTGGCAAGCACAATTTTAAAAAATTGAACAGGTACATTGCCAAGCTAAGGTTGGACCAAATAGTTTCTAGAAAGTGACAGAGACTGGTGCTGAAGGTGGCAGTTTAGTTTTTCCACTCAGACATATAGTGAGAGAAAAAATTATTGATCCCCTCTGATTTTGTACGTTTGTCCACTGACAAAGAAATGATCAGTCTATAATTTTAAGGTTTAACAGTGAGAAACAGAATAACAACAACAAATCCAGAAAAACACATTTCAAAAAAAGTTATAAATTGATTTGCATTTTAATGAGTGAAATAAGTATCCCCTATCCATCAGCAAGCTTTCTTGTGTACAGGTAATACTTGGCTCCCAAGTATCTTGTATACAGGTAATGAACTGAGATTAGGAGCACTCTCTCAAAGGGAGTGCTCCTAATCTCAGCTTGTTACCTGTATAAAAGACACCTGTCCACAGAAGCAATCAACCAATCAATCAGATTCCAAACTCTCCACCAATGGCCAAGACCAAACAGCAGTCCAAGGATGTCAGGGACAAGATTGTAGACCAACACCAGGCTGGAATGGACTACAAGACTATCACCAAGCAGCTTGGCTAGAAGGAGACAACAGTTGGTGCGATTATTCGCAAATGGAAGAAACACAAAATAACTGTCAATCTCCCTCGGTCTGGGGCTCCATGAAAGATCTCACCTCATGGAGTTTCAATGATCATGAGAACAGCGAGGAATCAGCCCAGAACTACACGGGAGGATCTTGTTAATGATCTCAAGGCAGCTGGGATCATAATCACCAAGAAAACAATTGATAACACACTACGCCATGAAGGACTGAAATCCTGCAGCGCCAGCAAGCACATATACAGGCCCATCTGAAGTTTGCCAATGAACAGGAGAACTGGGTGAAAGTGTTGTGGTCAGACAAGACCAAAATCCAGCTCTTTGGCATCAACTCAACTTGCTGTGTTTGGAGGAGGAGGAATGCTGTCTATGACCCCAAGAACATCCTCCCCACCGTCAAACATGGAGATGGAAACATTATGCTTTGGGGGTGTTTTTCCAAGGGACAGGACAACACCGCATCAAGGGCCATGTACCGTCAAATCTTGGATGAGAACCTCCTTCCCTCAGCCAGGGCATAGAAAATGGGTTGTGGATGGGTATTCCAGCATGGTAATGACCCAAAACACAACAAAGGAGTAGCTCACAAAGAAGCACATTAAGGTCCTGGAGTGGCCTAGCCAGTCTCCAGACCTTAATCCCATAAAAAATCTGTGGAGGTAGCTGAAGATTTGAGCTGCCAAACATCAGCATCGAAACCTTAATGACTTGGAGAGGATCTGCAAAGAGGAGTGGGACAAAATCCCTCCTGAGATGTTTGCAAACCTGGTGGCCAACTACAAGAAATGTCTGATCTCTGTGATTGCCAACAAGGGTTTTGCCACCAAGTACTAAGTCATATTTTGTGAAGGGATCAAATACTTATTTCACTCAGTAAAATGAAAATCAGTTTATAACTTTTTTGGAATGCGTTTTTCTGGATTTTTTTTTTGTTATTCTGTCTTTCACTGTTAAAATAAACCTACCATTAAAATTATAGACTGATCATTTCTTTGTCAGTGAACAAACATACAAAATCAGCAGGAGATCAAATATTTTTTTCCCTCACTAATTTCTGCTCTCTATGCTATACTTCATCATTGCAGAAGGTGGTGCTGCAACCCTGTTATTTTTCACTCAATTCTGTTAATTAGAAATTGTTCCACGGAATTGATTTCCCCAATATTGTCAACAGGGAAAACATGAAAACTTTGGAAAATAAACTAAAGGAGGGAATAAGCCTAAGCAAAGTTTCAATACAAAGTTTATCTGGCTATTTCAAAGCAGATTTTCCAATCTAGGTTTTCATTTTCTTCCCAACCCCAATGAAATATTACAATATTGTTTACCCTACAAAATGACTTCTATTTCATCTTTTAACTCTTTTATGAATTACACAACTGAAAAGGAACAGATGCTTTTTATATCACATCCAAAGTTATATGATTCTTCATCTTCTATGGCTAAGCACTGGGAATGGATGAGTCGAGGAAGAAAAGGCTCAACATAACGTTGAATATATGTAGGGTGTATAACATGGATTTCCGTTCTAGCTGGTGAGGAGGAATATAGGCTTTCTCCAGCAAAAAATCATGCCTAATGCATGGTCATCGGAATTGGGACTAAGAGAACCTGCCATTTCAAGGGCATAGACTGCTGTGTAATCTCCTGCCATAATAAAGACATTCTTTTATCTTTATAATGTGGGGAATAGCTACTACTGCAAGCTTCTTTCTTTGTATATTAGCAATCTGAAACAGCCAGCCTACAGACAATTTTGACTTCTGCTTTGAGCAGTTTGATGTGAATTCCTGTCATATCTTATTTTTGCCATTTCAGAATCAAAACTCAATTGAATTTTCACAGAAATCTAAGGAGAATAAATTGGAAATCCTTCAACTGCTGAGATGTTTTAAATGCCACCCACTGAACTAAAAAAGGAGACGTTTGCATGTATAAATGTTGGGGTATGTACATTATCAGTGCATAGTGTGCCTCACAGTGAAAATAAACCTAAAGAATTGGAGAGTGAGGTCCATGCATGGGCTGGATATGTGCATATATTTCAGAGCTCCCACACTGCATATTCTAGTAGAATTTCAATGATTATACATGACGGCAATCCAATGACAAGCACATTGAAACTGTCTCAATAGGACTAAGTGCTTTAATTAAATGTTTAGCTATCACTTGCAATAGGAATCTGATGCAATTAACTTTCTCGGAATTAATCCAAAGTGCTCCTAGCTTAGTTTTCATCTTCTCAGCAATAAAGCCAGGTGCTTACAAAGTATAAATACAGCACACATTTAATTGAAGTCTGTAGCCTACTAGTATATCGATTTACAAAAGCTGTCACTCTGGCCCAGGGTCTCCTGTCCTATTGCTACTCCAATGTCTCTTGCCAATAACCACAGTATAAACAAACACAGACTTCAAGGAGTCTTAGAGGGAGAAAACCCTTCTCTCATTATGGAAAATGCTGATCTTTTGGGATCTGGGTGGAAGCTTGGTTTCACATTCTGACAAATGACGTTGTCTAGTAAAGCAGTGATAGGGCCTTTTGGCACACAGAAGGAAGAAAGTCAAGCTTAATGGGACAAATTGTAAGTCTGGGAGAGAGAGCAGCTGACTAAGCTAAGTAATCAAATAACAATTAATAGCATTGAGGTCACCTTTTCTCCCTTTTCTCCTACATCACCCTTTTCTCCACGTGGACCAGGGAATCCCTATAAAAAATGAACAAAAATATCTCTATTGGCTTCTGTGTATTAATATGTGGGTTTATTTTTACTGTAGAGCTATATTATATGCATCCCAGCAGCCCCACTCCCAAGAATTCTGCATCGAGTAGTTTGAAACTAAAAAAGAACTGATAGAAAATTACTCTCATTTTCCTACATGCAAATTAGTGCTGGCAATGTTCAAGGACAAATGCTTCATAGAGGTTTAGTGGCACTAAACAAATGGGCAATAGCATTCTAATTAACTTCTTTCTGTTCCAAAGACTTTGCACAAACTGGAACATCTAACTGCAGCTTCTAATTTAATTCTGATAAGATATAACTCAACTGCAGTCAGCATGTGCAATCAAAGATGCTGTAGCAACCTAGAAACACTAGTTCCTTGCGGGAACAACTTCCCATGAGGTTTTCACTGTTTTAGAATGCAGTGGTAGGCTTTTTTTTGTAGTTTATAATAACATGATTAAAACACCCCAAATCTTGGAATAGCTGTTGCTGCAAATAGGAGTTGCCTTGTGGTAATGTTTTGATGTGGTTGCATTTTTGAGCACCACTGACTGCATTTGTAAGATTTGATGCACTTAGTATTATGCTCATAACAATACAGAATTGTATGAACATTTGTCATTCCTTGGTCATTTATCCGTGCTCTAGTTAGCATAAATTGCTGCAAAACCATTAGGGGTACTATTTATGGTAGTATTATTTTTTCTCTAGTATTATTTTAAGACAAATGACAGTACAATGTTGAGTATAATCTCTGCATGATTGTCATGCATAGGAAATGGAATAATCTTCAACATGCTGTAAGCATGCGACTATTACTTGAAACAAATGTTTACCCACCACACAGACAAATAGGTGATCAATTATTACTTACATCAAGGCCAGGTTCACCATCTTTGCCCTATTAAATAACCATAATAGTTTTGTTAAACTTTCAGGCTCTTATAAAACTTGAGTGGGGTTAAATGTTTGCCTGTATTATTCAGATATGTGCTGTGTACAAAATACAATTTTGAATCCAAAACTGACTTAAGAACAAGCTCTGTGAATGAAGAACAATCATGTACAATGCATTTACTCTTTTTATATTGAGTATCCTCTTAAACATGAACAAATATTTAGGTATCACTTATGTTATTATGGTTATTGTTAATTATGCTTTTGTTGAAGAAAAATAGCATCAAATAGTGAGTTATGATATATTTCAGCAAACCACAGTTAACTGTTTGTTAGTTTAGACAACGTGTTAAGTAAAACATGAAAACAAAATCTTCCAAACTCTTATTCCCAGTTCTGATGGAGCATAGGAAAGGAAGAGAGTGGAAATCCATGGCACTGAACATATTCAATTACTAATTAATATCAAGTAATTTAAATGTCAGGGAATGCAACATATGTATGTTGATTATTATATTAGAACTATTACTCGGTACTTTGCAAGAGTGGGTTTGGATGAGGCAAAATGTCATTGAGTAGAACTGTCTTATTGATCCTTGGGGTACTGGAACTTCTTTAGAATTGAAAGGCATCTGCTAACAATCACACTACATAAAAAGATCATTGGCCTCTGAACATGTCTACTATTGGTCAAGTCATTTTAGTAGCAATAGAACCACTGCAAGAAAGCTCAGAAGCGTCTAAAAGAATACTAATCAAGGACCTCTAGTACAAATCAAGGACCTCTTGTTTTGTATAAATTAGGAATCTGCTAGAAGGTTTTCTAACTAATAAATGTTATTAAGGGGCTTGCAAAAGCTTATGCCTCTTAATAACATTTATTAGTCAGAAAAGGTGCTGTCTGATTCTGATTTTTTTTGTCACCAGAGATTAATGCAGCACTCTTCCTGAAATGTCTAGTTTTCAGGAGAATATGAATTAAGGGAGCTGATTATGAATATGATCACTTTTATTCACCTCTTCCCATCTTGTAGGATCTGTTAGGGTGGACATTTTCTGAGTCCCCTGAATTAAACAACAGTAAGTAAGAATGAATATTTATCTGTATAACACATGAAGAGATAGAGAATGCTCAAAAGTTGGGAATTATCCTTATGATTATTTTTAATAAACATTTTTACTAAAACATTTCTATTGAAATATTCACCTGAACTGCTGAAAAATTATTAGGAAGTCACAAAGCAAGCTAGCAGAAGAACAGATGTTTCCATTGACATTGTAATGGAGTGTGGTTTAAAACCTGAGACAGATATTTCCGTAATCTGTAATCTGAGTGGCTAAAATGTTTGGCAGCAGTTCTTCAGTTTTTCAGATAAGAGTCTTTTTGCCTTGACTGGCTGCATGTTTTACCAAAAAACTATGGGCATTCTTCAGATTAGTAAATTCCTCCGTAACAAATAGTGATTCTCAGTAACTGATATGGAAACCATCACTGCCATGTTTGGGGTTCTTTTGGATGAACACAGCACTTATTTGACAGGCAAGTCAATGGATATGCACTTATTTCATGCTCTTCCATTTGCAAAACATTTTGTGATATTAAATAAAGCAATTGATCTTAGTGAGATGGGTGGTTCAAAGATGTGATAGATAGATAGATAGATAGATAGATAGATAGATAGATCAAGATAGATAGATAGATAGATAGATAGATGGAACAATGGGTAACAGTGATTCATTCTAATCTCATACAGTCTAACCAGATTAATCTGTAAAAAAATATTGAAAAAACTTGTAAAATATTATCAAAAATATAAGCTAAATAAATTTATGACAATATGTAGCTATCACATCTAAAAATGATTTTCGGCTTATATATTCTTTGTGTGTTTTTCTGCAGTCTTTCTCCCTTTCACATGTGCATACGCACACATAGTTTCATTTGCAGTTTGAATAAATGATATCATGCATGATGCAAAGAAGAATTAAGTATATTTCAATCTTTAAAAATCCCCACAAAAATAACTACTTTCAAACATTCTAATGTTTTCAAATAAACAACATCAAATTCAGGTTATACATATAAACCTATAGAAAAATATTTCTATGTCAAAATATTTATCCCAAAATTATACTGGATATGGAGATGTCTCCTCATTTTATACATACAGTACCTACATATAAATATCTCATTAAATATACATCAATCAAAATTTAATATCTGCACATTATAAATACCTGCATGCTAACAAAATTTAATAATTGCTTCCAATATATTGCAATATTCAAGGCAGTTACTTATATCAATGTTTCATGAGCAAAAATTCTTTGCCTAAGACATTTAATGAAACAAGACAATAACATAATTATGTAACATTTAAAAAAACAACCAAAACAACTCTTATCAAACTTGCTTCAAATGCAAATTAAAACATAACAGCAGAAAATGGTTTGCATAATTAAGACCTGATTGCTTTTTCCTCTGGAGAGAGATATAAGGTTTTTTTTAAAAAAAAATCTAACATTTTATTGAAAAAATTTATACCATTATACTTTGGTGCCTAAGGACACCTTCACAAAATTATAAAAATGGCAGGAGCAATATAAAAGAGTTGATATTCAATATTGGCTTTTCTTATTTTGTTTATGTCAAACCTACTTTATTATTTTTGCAAAGTGCACTGAGAGGATAAATCTGTCTAAACCTGAAATAAGGTGATGATCTTATGAGCCATGACTTGCTATTTAAATTAATTGCATTTCTTTGTGATGAATAAATGTAGCAAGTTTTAATGAAGGATTTTACAAATATTACACTTCTAAAAAATCATATAACTTACAGGCAAACCATACGGTCCTCTGGGCCCAGGATCTCCTGCAATTCCTTTTTCACCCTAAAATATAATAATATCAATGCTGCTCATATATAGTAAAGAGACTTATTATGCAATATGTTTCACTTATTTCCACCCTCCACCAAGGCTCCATTTTTGCTTTCAGAAGAAACCTTTGGTAGGTCAGCAAAGAAGAAATCTTCTGTTGTATTTAAGAGAAGGAGATAAATTAGTAATAGTAATAGTAATAAAGTTGGAAGGGACCTTGGAGGTCATCTAGTCCAACCCCCTGCTCAGGCAGGAAACCCTATACCATTTCAGACAAATGGCTGTCCAGTCTCTTCTTAAAAACTTCCAGTGTTCGAGCATTCACAGCCTCCGGAGGCAGGTCGTTCCACTGTAATTGTTCTAACTGTCAGGTAATTTCTCCTTAGTTCTAGGTTGCTTCTCTCCTTGATTAGTTTCCATCCGTTGCTTCTTGTCCTGCCTTCAAGCGCTTTGGAGAATAGCTTGACTCCCTCTTCTTTGTGGCAACCCCTGAGATATTGGGACACTGCTATCATGTCACCCCTAGTTCTTCTCTTCATTAAACTAGACATGCCCAATTCCAGCAACCGTTCCTTATATGTTTTAGCCTCCAGTCCCCTGATCATCTTTGTTGCTCTTCTCTGTACTCTTTCTAGACTCTCAACATCTTTTTTACATCGTAGTGACCAATACTTTCCAAGGCTTTGGAAAGTGGTATTAAGGGAAAGTCATTTCTCTACATATTTCTTTTTTTTTCTTTACAATATTCTTATTTTTGCTTTCCTTTCTATTTCTATTTTTCTTCTCTGCACCTATTTTTTTCCTTTTTTTAGTTTGTATTAGTTTGTTATTGTGGATGTAATTTTTAATAAAATTGCTATTAAAAATAAGCTTTAGGTAAGTCAAAATGAGAGATAGTGATAGGTCTATGCTCACTTCCTTATTCATCTCTAAAGGCAAAGCTACCTTTTGTATGATTTGTTTATGAATATCATAAAAACCTCAAGTATTTACATTATTCATAACATACAAAACCTCCATAGTTGACCACCTCCCTACATTGACCACCTCCCTATATTGACCTAATTTTCATAGACTGTACATACACTATATGTACACAATAGAAAGCCAACCTCTCTAAACTGATCACCTCTGTAAGTTGTATCTTGACCACCTGGACCTTGACACATGGTATTAATTTACTTTCTATAACTTGACCAGTTGAGTCCAGTCTGCACCAAGGGCAAGAAAAGTGAAATGCAGAATTGGTAGCAATGAATTTCTTTCAAGAATAATATCAAAGAATACAATATTTTTGAGTTTGATTCGGCAGTAAAAATGACGACATTTTTAATGTTGATGAGTGTGGACTCTTTTTAAAGGCGATGCCTGATGGGAGCCTCATTATGAGGAGTGACAAATGTAAGAGTGGAAAACTTTCTAAAGAATATTTCACAGTTCTGCTGTGTGCTAGGTTAACCAGAGAGAAGCTAAAACCTTTGGTGATTGGTAAATTGGCAAAGCCACACCCATTCAAGAACCTGTAGCTCAAAGACTTTCCTGTCACCTGGAAATCTAACAAATCTGCACAGATGACTTGTGCCCTATTTGAGGAGTGGATAAGAGGTATTGACTGAAAAATAGAGAAGAAGATATAGTCTGTATCAGATACAATTGTCCAGATACAATTGTATCTGGACAATTGTAGTGGACAATTGTACTAGCCATCTGCAAGTAAATCATTTTACAAGTGTGAAACTAAATTTTTTGCCTCCAAACACTACATCAAAAATTCAACTTCTCGACCAAGGCATAATCAAAACACTCAAAATGCACTACCAAACTCAGCTTCTGCAGTGGATTATTGCTAAAAAGTTAACCTATGAACCATCTGCAGAAGCAAAACCCTAACCCTGACCCAGAAGCAATTTTCCAATCAGTATTGACCGAGGTATAACCCAGCGAAAAAGTGCTGGAAGCAACTGATGAAGCAGAAGAATTAAGTGAGAAGGACACAGAAATTGCAGATAGTCATTTGCTGTGGAAAAATGCCCAGGTGTGCTGAGTGGTATAGCCAGCATTCAGAGTGCTTTATCCACTTACCATCATAAAAAGAATAAGAAACAGACTAAAATTGACTCTTTTCCCCCGGAAAGAATGATCAAACATATGTAAATGTATTGATTTTGTATGATACAATGTTGTATGAATATTTTTCTGTTTTTTCGCTATGTGTGTTTCTGTATGATATTTTCTAATAAAAGCTGTACAATAAAATGAGGCATGTGTTCAGTTGTTCCATATGTTGACCATCTCCGTATGTTGACCACTTTTGTTCAGTCCCTTGGGTGGTCACCTTTCAGAGGTAGTAGTAGTACTACTACTCTTTCTGATAAGAGAGCTCTTAGTACCAAAAGAACAATACAATTTTCTCTGTTGAAACAAAAGAAAATGCAGCATTGGATTGTGCAGCAAATAAATCAGTTTCCTATTAACACCTTTGAAGACACTCTGATGCTTTTGCATGTGCCTCAAACACAATAGATTAGCAGAATAAAAGATTCTGATAAAGCTATAACAGATGCATTTGTGTAAGAATTATAATATTAAGCAGAATGTAGATTTTTGTAACCATTTTCATCATGACCATGATAATCATCTTTGTTTGTCTTGATATGTTGTGAAAACCCTGTGCTTTATTGGTTATTGCTTTATGTAACCCTAAAGTATGAGAAAATTCAGTAAGGTGAAGCATTTGTGAATGCAGCCACCACGTATTTCAGTAATTTGAACAGAACACAAAAATATACAATATTATTAAGGTATATTTGAACATCTCAGACATGTACTCACTCTGTCTCCCTTTGGACCTGCAGGACCATGTGGACCAATGGGACCATCCATACCCTAGAAAAGTAATAAAACATGATCTGAAAAAGGTTGGGAATGCCCAAATTAAGCTTTATATTGAATGAATCAATATAGAATCAAGCTTGATGTCAACAATTGAGAACATGAATTAGAACGATGGCTTAGTTATTGAGATTCCAAATCTCTGGATTACTTTCGCAGACTCAAAAATCTCATTTGTATTCCTTAAAGCTCCGAGGTGCTTCTTTCTAACTCTTGAATGTTTACTTGCTTGTTTAGATTTATGTAAGATTTAAAATCTAGGAAGAGTTAAAAGATTAAACAAAGGGAGATAACATAAGAAAATCCCATGCTGAATTCACATAAAGACTCACAAAGATAGATGGGACAGGTGACATGCTGAAAAAGGAGATTTTATATGGTCAACTAAACTATTCCATCACTCTCTTGGAAAGCTGAGTAATTTGTTTTAAATAACAGTAGAGCTTCAAGATGTAAATTTAGTATCTTCCAACTTTATGAAGAAGCTGCTTATCCCAGGCATTGTAAATTTTAGAGTTTTTTTTGCTGAAACTATATGGAAAATGCCAACCAATTGGGGGGGTGGGCGCCATATAAAACATTAAAACAAATAACAATTTTCCATCATGGCGTTTGTCTTTCTTTAAACCAAGCTAAAGTGGCTGGATTACTGTCAGTGAACAAAGAGAAAGGTGGACTTTTTTAAACTGACTTTGACAATTATATTGTAACTTGATGTTATCAATATATAAGGTTATCAATCTATAACCATATATATATATATGGGAATGAAGAAGGACATAGGAACAGGAAGGACTCACCCGGGCTCCTGGCTTTCCATCTAAGCCAGATGCTCCCTGTATGTTAAGCGGAAGCACAGATGACAGGGATAACACGAATGACAAGAACGTGAGATTAGTAACTGTGGTGATAAACAAGTACAACTTCTTTTTTATACACAGATTACACAAGAATAAGTACCACACTACTGCATTAGATAAGTTATAATGTATACATAACATAACAAGTTTATGATTTTACTAGAGGCTATATAACAGTAATTTTATTACCTAGTGGAATTGCTTAATGAGATCAGAATTAGTCCTTAGATGCATTAGTGCTACAAAGTTCACTTGCTATAGTGTTTGTTGATCTTTAATAAACATATCTTTATTTAAAAGTTAGTGAGAAATATTCAAGCAAAACAAAGATATAAGTACATGTTTATAACCATAACTAAAACACTAAGAAAGCAGTAGTGCAGCAAAAATTAAATGTACGCTCTCATGATAACAGACTTAAAGCCATAAAGTATTTTAAAATATTTCTGTTTTTTTACTGAGTGACAATCTGTAATAAATTCCTAGATAAGCTAGTGCAGTGCTTTGTAGTACTGGTAACTTGTCATGATTAGTATAGGAAGAATATTAAAATTAGAGCTATTTTACCAATTACTTCAAGAAGTTTAGCCATCATGTATGAAACATCTGTCAAATTTGCAACACTCAATTTGATTTTGCTGAGACCTACATGATCCCTGTGGATATTATATGAACAAGATCAATGCAGTGCTGTCACACACATACTAACGTTAATTAAAGATGTCAGATAGCTTTATTTGATAGATTTTATGTATATGATGGCCCTTGAGTATTTTCACACCTTGATCAAGCAAAGTTATGCATTATATTTCCATTAATTTTAACAGAACAGAGTTAAGCTCTTGCTGAATTTCTACAATGGATTTAAAAGGACTTGACTTTGGATGAATGCCCCTTCTGAATAGATTTTCTCAGTTATTTTACTTTTGTATGTTTTTCATTTCAGTGAAGTTTGCACTGATATGACTTACTTTGTTTGTGTTTAGGAAATCTTAACAGTTCCAGAAAGCAAAATAGGGATTTTAATGAACTTCACTGACTACCAATGAATTAGTACTACACAAAGGAGAACAATTCCAAACAATGCTAAATCATAGAAGATATACTTCTACAAGCAAATGAAAAATACTTTGTTAAACTTGTTACCTAGGATATTAACCATAAATGCCTCATAAAAATATATGTATTATAATTACAGCCACTCTGCTTAAACAAAAATCTATAGTTAGCATATGGACAATCTTTGTGTGGACAATGGTTAATATTTAAGAAAAACATTACACAACACTTAAATAATGGCATAATTAATGGTATAAAGTCACAATTTTAATTAATGTTGCCAACTGACAAATAAATAACAATATAAAAGCAACAAATAACAAAACCATATATTATGGGATGATACAAGATTAGACTTGATTAAGAAAAAAGACACCACTTCAGCATGAGATAGCTTTATATTTGCTATTGAGTAAACCAGAGTTTTTGGCTGAAAGTAGAACGAGAAGTTTGTAATCTGCACTGAAATGGAAGTATTTTACTTACTGGGAGACCAAGGGGCCCTCTGTCACCCTTGTGACCTGGTTCACCCTTCAATCCTTTAAGACCATTTAACCCTGGTTCACCCTAAATATAAAAGTATAAATGCTATTTTGTGAAGATGCTGACATGGATACTCAGGCTGGGACAGAAGACAGCCAGTGAAGGATATGAATGTAAATCCAGTTTTTCAACTTAAGTGGTTATGTTTATCAAAATAGATCATCTCATTGCTAGATCATATAAAAAAATGGTATAGCAATAGTCATGACTCCTATTAGAGTAGATAGCATAAAACTATCTATATAAACTTGCATGTTTGAAACATACATCTTGAAATGTTTCTGAATAATTTGGATCAATATGATTTTACTGTCATGTTGCTTATGGCAAATGTATTCCAAATCCATTCATAATCTTGCAGGCTTTCAACAAAATTAATGAAACCAGAAAAATGTGAATGTGATTTGATCAATCAGAATTACAAAGTATTTTTTTTCTACATTGCCTTAACTGGCTTTTTCTTCAGATAGCAAACTAAAATATGCATTATTTCATGAAAACATATTCCAAACCTTTAAGCATGGCTATCATCAATTAAACAGAGGAAGACTGTGATACATTGGCTTATCCTTTCCAATGACCACAATGTAACAGTTACCCCAAAAGTAATTAAATGCTTACTGACAACCAAAGTAAACATTTCTGAAATTCTCTGATAAGGGAACTCTTTTGCCCTGAAAAAAATCTAGATATTTCTAATTGTACCAACATTTATATATTTTTTTTATTAAAAAAACAGGATAATTTCCAATGAATTTTCCCAATTCTTACAAAGAATTGAAATGTAAAAATAATTCACTACCTCTGCTAAATAAAATTCCATGGCATTTCTAAAGAGGAACTATATGTACATTATTTTTGTTTAATTTATAGCTTTTGACCATAGAATTTTATGTTTTCCAGTTTCTAAAAAAGTAGCATACAATTTATCTTGATTTGGTTTTTTAGTAGGTATGTGTGTGTATATATATGTGTGTGTGTGTGTATACACATACACACACACACACATACATACACAAAATAATAATAATCATAATAATAGCAATAATAATCATAATAATAGCAATAATAATAGCAATAATAAATGCAAATAGCATTAAAGTGTATTAGGGCTTTAATTATTCTTTTTGAAGTGGATAAATATTGAACAATGTGTTTGCATGCACATTTAAATTCCCATATATTTTATATAATACTTTGAACCGCGAGGGTGGATTTTTGACTGGTATTGTTAGGAACATGGATTTTCAAATACAAAGATATGGGCAAAATCATTCAAAAGAACATATTAATTTAAGAGAAGAAATGAGTTTGATTAGAATACTTGAAAGACAGCAATGAAGAAGAAAATATTTTTTAAAAAAACTTCTTAAGTACATAAACACTCGTCCTCTGTTTTCTTAAACTTTTCTGTAAGGTAGTTCCAAATGTCATAGTTTGAAACTATCACCAGACAACTAAATTTTAATACTGGCTCTCCATAATTAACATTATAGAAAGCTAATTTAGCTTACATTGATGTGGAACAGACACAGGAAATTGCCATAAATCCTTATATATGTTTTGACATTTTATTTTAAGCAGATGCTTAAAGGTTTACGAATATTAAAAAAAATTCACAGAAAAAATGAGACAAGGACAAATTTTAAGTGCATGCCTCAACATGATTAATGAGAATGACAGCATGACAAATTAGGGAAATTATTTTAGTTGTGGACTAAATTCTTTACCTTTGGCCCAGGGAGTCCATGAGGTCCCTAAAAATAAATTAAAAAATAACAATTACAGGATGCATTTCTATATTGTTTCTATATATTATATTAGAGGGACTCTCTCAGTGTGTATGCATGTGGATGTGTCCATGTGTATGACTTAGGAAGGGATGGCTGGGCAAAACTGCATTGAGTAATATCTCTTACTTATTTAACAAAAGTCAAGCCAAGTCTAGCAAATTAAAAGCCTCTATCAATTTTCAACTCCAAAATGTTTTTGAAGTTTTTACATATTTTGAAAATATGTAAAAAAAACACTGATAAGAAGCAGAATCAATAGGATCTTGTTACTTATATTTATATAGTCAAAAGCACCTTTGCAAAATTACTCTTTCACATTTCTGCCTATATTACAATTCATTAGGAAAATATTTGATACCACCTGAACTTTTTTCTTTCCCCCCAATCTCTTCTATACTAAGAGCTCCTGAAAACATTGGGTTTTGTTATGTGGACATCTAGGCTTTCAAGGATATGAAACACTGATAGATTGCTTTAATTCATGAACCACACAATAGATAAATGGCTAAAAATACTTACCATAGGTCCTGGTGGACCATGTGGACCAGGAGAACCTGGAGGTCCTATGAGCTGCGTAAAGTATATGCATATATATATATATTTAGAAAATAAGTTTATCATTTTAACAGACACAGTTGACTGATCTGCTGGGACCATGCAATTAGCTGTAATCCCTTGGATGTGCTACCGGTGCTACCCTCTCTTAGAGCATGTTGTGTTTGTTGTTTTTTATTTCACTTCTGTATCACCCTTCCTAAAGCCCAGGGCAGTTTGCAAATCAAAATGAAAATCATTAAGCAAAACCTATGTCCCTTGTACCACATTCATACAGCGAATCACCCACGGTCATTAAGCAAGACTTCATGTGACCACGACTCCTCAGTTTTACTTCACATTTCTCCACTGATTCTGCGAGATGGCTATGAAGCCCATATATGGCAATCATGTTGCTTTTAATGTTTTGATCTGTTCAGTTTCATAGTTTTAATATGATATTATGTTGTTTTAATTTCTGATTGGGAGCTGCTCAGAGCTGGTTAAAAAACAGGTGGCTATTTAAATCATGTGATTGGGGGATTGTGCTTTGGTTGTAAATGCCTATTGGTTTTGAAGCAGCCAAATCTCAATCACATTACAGTGGGGATGCTTCGGTGATCATAAATGCAAACATTGGTCATTAAATTACTTTTTCAGCATAACTTCAAATGGTCACTAAATAGGGCAACTAAACGGCAACTACTAAATAGGGCAACTAAACGACAACTACCTGTAGTTAGAAAACCAAAAGATTATTTTACAAGAACACTGAAAAAATATAGCAAGACTTACAGAGGGACCTTGAGAACCTGGTAATCCAACATCTCCTTTTTCTCCTTTCATTCCATTGGATCCCTACAAAAATGTTATGGTATTATTATAAATACTTTCATCTTATCGGCTGATGAATTTTTCTGCAATAAAACATGACTTTACATATTTAATTATAAGACCTAATTTGTCTTATATTGCTATCTAGCCTCCTATTCCAAGCAGATAAATTCAATCCAAAGCATCTGAACCATCTTTGGGCTGGCTGAATCTGTGCTGGGTACCAGCTTCAATTATTTCAAGATGTCAGGTGCAACTCAAGTGATGTGATCAAAAAGTTTTTTAGGTGTTCCTACAGGATTTGATGTGTTGAAAATTAGTTACAAATATCCTCAGTATGCCTAACATTGAATATGTCGGTGTATTTGGCACATCCACAATAGTCATAATTGTGAAGAGGGTGATCCTTATATTTTGATGTTCAAAACAATTCTGATATTCAGAACATGCCATGTAGTGTTGGAACTTTGTCAGCCAAGGAATCAGGTTGAGAGAATGATTCTACAGTGACCAATAATGGCCGTCCAGAGTATTAGACTGGGTTCTTATATACCCCTTGGAGATAGCAGGAACTGAATGTGGAATTATTTGGATGCAATACTTGTATTATATTCTGCTGTATTTTTTCAAGCTAACTTGTAGAAACTTGAAACACACCTACTATGTTAAAGAAGTTTAATTACAAGAAAAATATTGTCAGATTTATTTAAATATTGCTTTTTTGTTTGAGTTTGAATTGAACTGTAGGAGATGACTAGGCTGACCAAAGAAGGGGTCAGTCATGTTATCAGTTTTGAATTCCTTCACACCTACTAGAGATCTAAATCCATCCCAGCTTAATTCTATTGACTCTTATCTACTCCCAATTTTTTTTAACCATTAGTAGTTCAGATTCTTATAAAGAGTTTTAGTGAGCAATAAACAAGTATTCATTTGAACCTCTTTGACTCCTGATTTCCTGCAGTTGATATGAACTTTAAATGTATGAAATGTATCATCACCTTTGTGAGAGTAGTATACTTGAGAAGAAAAATAACTGCCCAAAAACAAACCAGCAGTGTTTTCAGTTCTTTATCTGCTCAGTGGGATGTTATACACAGCTGCTTTCATTTTACTTATACAGTAAGAATCTAAAGATGCCTGATAATGTGGAAATGTTTTCACAGGAATGCTATCTCCTGGTCAGGCTATTAATAATACACTATAAGTAAGAAGGAAAAGAGAAAAAGAAAGAGGGAGGGAGAGAGAGAGAGATGGAGGGACGGAGAATACTTTAAATACTCTGTGGCACCGTATAATGAGCTAAAATCAACAGTGTTTACCCAGGTAGAATGGCAAATGAATATATTTAAGTTAACATGAAGAATAACATACTTACAAATAATATTGCATTTTAAGCTATTCCTATACTGCTTTATCTTGTAAAGAGTTCACCTCCCACTAAGTTTAATTAACATATTTATTTGCAATTTTGCTAGTTAGCTTTATCACATCTTGGAGTTAAAACACAATTAATTGATTTGCCATCAAAGTAGTTGATTTAAAGTTTTCCAAAGGAAGATAAATCAAGAATGATTTATTATTTCTATACCTTTTTGAATTTGCAGGAGAATTTTATTTACATACACTTGGGATTCCTTCCACAAAAAAACCCATTATTTCTTCTCTTCTTTCAAAGTTTTCCTCAAAACTGTCATTTCTTTTGGTTCCGCTAAGCCTCATTTGAAATTAATTAAAACTACCACTCTTTTCTCCCGTCTTCCATTGCTGTACTTCCTTTATGTAAATCTTTTTGCATAGCACCAAGTAACATGTTCTAAAATAAAAACAATATGATTGTCTTTGAGAAAAAGATACTGAAGCAGTAGTGAGAAATGTTGCTATCAAAGACAATTTTAAACAAACTTACTGGCAAACCTGGAAGTCCAATACCTCCTTTTTCTCCTGGTATTCCTGGGTCACCCAGATCACCCTTTGAACCTTTGGGTCCCTGAAATAGCATATTTATGACTATGAAATGTGCATTATGCTAACAATGTAAATCAACATGAACTAAACCAATGCATTAACTTCAGAAGTAAAAAATGTAATTACATTAATATCTGGCAATATTTTTTATTATTTAAGGATAGAAGTATTTCCTTCCTCCTCCCTCCCTCTCTTCCTTTACATTCAGTTTTTGGTGAACCATTATCATATCATATTGCTTTATCAATAGTAATATCATAAAGACATGTTCAAGTACCTGCTCCCCATCAGCACCAGATAATCCTGGTGATCCAGGTTCACCCTGCAAAATAAAATCCATCTCCAACTTAATTCCACTGTGGTATTATTATTTGGAATATAATGTAATTTAATACTAAATAAATAAGTCTGCTTGATCCATGTGCCTTCTCCTCTTACAAGGAAGAAATCAAAGGCACCTAACTCAGCTCTTGAACTAACACATGTTGTCATTTAGTTTGAACTAGGAATTCTGACTTCCAAAATATGCTTTCTTGAAACAAGCCACAACAACGATCATCATCATCATCATCATCATCATCATCATCATCATCATCATCATCATCATCATCATCATCACTAGCTCTTGATGTGATTCAACAAAGTTTCTCTCTCTAATGGCTTCACAAAAGACCAGGAACAAATGGACAGGTCTATAATCTTTGGGATACCAAGAAATTCTTCCCTAAATAGTATTCCCATGAACAATAGACTATATAATCTTGCTTTACAAGTGTTTGGTATTTAAAATTCTTTTAAAGCACTTCAAAAATAACGAAGAAAATTATGTTATGATCATTTTGTTAAATTTGTTGAAAAAACTTAGTTGTTATACAATAATTTATTATTGTTGAACTAAATATTTTTACTTGAATCATCCTAGTGTCATAAGATCTTCAAAGCACACAGTGATAGAGACTTACATATCATTATTAATTATATCAAATATATAATGTACTGATAATCACACAAATACAATTGATATGCTCACCTTTGATCCTTGCAATCCTTGGAGTCCAGGTGGGCCTGGAGGACCCTAAATATAAAATTAATTCACTTTATTGCAGTATCCACTATCCATACATTCATTAAACTTTTTTCTGAAACATATTTTAATATGTTATGCAAAATAAGCATCACAACAAGAAAACTGCATTAAAACAGTCAAGGACTAACAACACCAATGACAATTGATGACCATATACAGATAGACAGACAAAATGTGTTACAATTAAATATTAGAATGATATTATTAAATAGCAGTGATGAAATCTGCTTTACAACATGTACAACACTAACAAAGCAATAGGCTGAATCCTGGCACATAAAAATTCTAATCACTGTGAGCACTAGAATTACATGGCATGCAATGTTATAAAAAGATATATCTTTTTTCAATCATGATCTTTTGCAGAACCCCTAGTGAGCTTCTGTGGAGCTTAGAGACTCATGGAATCCCAGTTGAGAAGACTATAATCTCATTTCAAAGATGATTGAGTCCCTAGTACCAGAAAATTATGCAAAGTACTGAGAGAGGAAAACTACAAGATTATTGCCCTCTTCTCTGCATACTTCGAACTAGTAAAGTTGTATAATTGTAAATCTTGTAAATAAGTCTTGGATGAAACAAATCTGTATGGAGTTTCATTGGAAAAGGTTTGGTTATTTGACTGCCTTATAGCAGAATAAAATATGGTCTGGTTGGCTGTTAATGGTAGGTTTACAACTACTTTCCAAACCCCAGGGTATAACTGCAAAACAAATTGCCCAGTCTCTGCAGAGTTTGATTTTTTTATTTTTAAAAAGTCACACACCTCAATTTCCTGCCAGGAGCTGGGATGAGTGACATTGACAGGAAGGTAAACTCTCAAAAATAGAAATGACAAGACAAAAATCTAGCTTGTTTTGTTATGGGGGTCTGATCACAACATTTAAGATATTTGAGGCCAAGTTGGGCCATGCAGACACTATGATGCTGCCAACCTTTGCTCTACATGATTTTAGTCAGAGATCTTCTCTGCTTTGCTATGTGATAAGCAGTAAAGACCAGAAGAATAAGAATTGCCCTTGAGACATTATGCCACACAATTTAATGTAAGTATACAGTAAATCAATAATACAAGCTGTCATTGAGCTACCTTTTTTTCTTCCAATACTAATTTAGCATGTAGGTATTTCATGCTGATTGCAATATAGTAATGAAATAATGAACAAAGAAAAATCTATTTATATAAAAATTTCTATAACAAATAAAATAAAGCAAAAGTTTCATTGAAATACTACTAACACCTAATTATCTTACATGAATTATAAAAAACAAAACCCCACTTAAATATTATTATCATCATAATAACCTTAACCTGCATTTATTTGTACAACTCTAGGTGTTGTAGATAATACTCCCACTTTCCATTTCATTACAACTCTTTAAGAGGAGTTGGGCTGAGAGAATCTGAAAGTCTATACCTAAGGATAGCTAAAACTCATGATTTCCCAATTTTCTAGTTCAGCACCTTAACAAGTATATTTCCTGGAAATATCATTGTTTATCTATCTTGGGCTGACTTCCATATTAACTTGCTTTACCTGTAAATTTATGAAAGTAGAGGTGAAGAAGGCCAATAGGAAAGTACAAAAATTGAGACTCAGGGATGTTTTCAGTTAGTTACAGTAGGTTTCAATTTCTGTTAATATTATATTACACATTTTGAAATAATACAAGTATTCCCTTTTAGTCATTATTGATTCTGAATAGAAAAGGAGTATTTTTAAAGGGCAGATGTTACACTGAAATTTCATCCAACTGTGTTCAAAAATTACTTTTTATGGCACTTCAATATATATCAATTATACTGGATGAAATAAATACAATTTTGAAGCAAGCTTGTGATGTATCTTCTAACACAACCAATATGATTTTTTAAAAAAAATTAATCCAGGAAAGTAAGTTACAGGAAAAATCAATCCCTTTTTAAGTTACTGCATTTTAAAATTCCCACTGAAAATTGCACCAGTGCCTGGTTTTAATAAACATAGTTAAACAGATTTTACAATGCTAATAAAAGCTTGAATCAATAAAACATTTTTTTAAAAAAAGAAAGCTTGAATCCCTACTTTTTTTTTTTTTTTTTACTGAAATGGCCATATTGCTTCTATTAATTACTATAAGTAGTAAAACTAGAGTCCTAACTTTCCACTGATACACCTGATTTAGAAAATAGAGGTGCTGATAATGCAAAGTTAATATCTGGTGGACAAAGACACATTTATATATCAGAATAACTCTAAACATGCAACACCACAGAAAAAAACAAAACACCGTCATGCAATAGGAATTACCGTGACAGTTAAGGTGGTAATCCTCTGTTGGCAAAATATATTAGCAGAAAATAATGTTACCAGATGTTCAGTTTGAAATAGAATACTTTGCTTGTTTAGAAATAGACTTCACAAAATTGAGGAAAGTTTGAGAGAAGCATTTGACTAGCTCCCCGAAAATAAAAAATTACTCTTACATCTTTACATCTAAGTAATTATACTTAACAATCCACGTATTAAGGTACTTACTTTGAATTACTTTGTTTGCTTTCAAAAAGTAGCAGTACTGTCAATTTCCTATTATATTATAATGATTTTAAGATCAATTTTTGTAAACTCACAAATAATGCTCTATAAGCATCTGTGGACTTTAAATAATTAAGTGACTATAATTATTTAATGATGTGTGACTTAAACTGGATGATATTTATATGAATAAACTATACAATGCTGAAATATCTCGAATAGTAATGATCTCAATAGAGCAAGATCAAATAAAATACATATAAAGAATTATGATCAAAATTTAACTAAAAGAAATAATTCCTTATATCTGATCATGACATGTTTTCAAATAAAGTAATTTGTGTGACTTCCAAAAGATATGCAGAACATGTTTTAGCATTCATCAAAAAGTAACTTTAAATGTTACTTAAATGCTTAATTTAATCATTTATAACCTTGTCTAAACAATTAGCATGAGGAAAACATCTCACTTATATAGATGGAGTACATTAATTCCTATATTTTGGATGAAAATCCTATTTGTAGTTATATATTATTTTATCACCAATAAAAGGATTTATTTTAAAATGTTTACTTCTTCAGTGTTTTGAAGGTTACTGGAAAATAAGAATATTATTTTTAAATGTTTATTTCTGTAGTATTTTGACTGTTCATGTATTTATCTTATATTTTGTATGTAGACGTTAAATACTTCGTACTTTTCAATGATGAAAGTTTTTTATTCCGTAAAGATTATGGAATGTAGGTTTCATGCAAAAAAAAATCTTGCTATAACTTATAACTTTTATCTTCAGAAAGGAAAGTTAGTGATTGATCTCTATAGTGAGTCTTTTGTTTACTGTGCTAAGCAACATCCACAGGAATAAAAATTAAATTCTATACAGCTTGAAAAGTTCTTTGAAAAAGTCCTTGAAAAAAGGTAAGGATGAATCTTATACAGTATTGGCAAAAGTAACTAAGTTTGCAAACATATATCTATATAATGAGACAATTTTTTGAGTAGATAGATATATGACTACATTATAAGAATTGTCCCACATAGTCATTTGTCCTATATCAAAATAACTTCATTTGAAATATACATATTTGTGAACTATTTTGGATGATAGAAAAAAGCAAGGGGAAAGATACCCATTGATTTGTATCTGACTCCTTTTTCTTAACGATAGTACAGAATTTGCTTGCCATTTTTTGGGAGTTTTTTGTTTAACTTCCCAAATTAGTTTATAGCTCTAGGATTTCTTGGTTGTTTCCCATCTAAATACTAACCAAATCTGACCCAAACTAATATATGATTAATTAGCTGCTGCTCCCTGTTATGACATTTTGGATTAATTCAGTGCAAAAATTTATATTGAAATATATTCTATCAACTCATTAACCATAAATTGTAAGCAAAGATCTGGAGTTGCAAAAGCAATCATTTATTTAATGCTATCATGGAAGAATGCCAACAAGTAAGATTCCAGATCAGGCTTCCCTAATTTGGTACCTTCCTAAAAGTTGGAACTAGAACTCCCAGCCAATATAGCTAGAAGCAATGCTACCTAGAAAATGTACATGTTGATGTTTCAAACACATCCAAGGAACAACAGATTAGGGATAATCTGTTCCAGATAATCATTGTACATGGTGTGTTCTAAAAATACATGAAACCCATTTACCCATTGAATCACACCTACTATTTATTATCAACATTTCCAAGTTCTGTTATGGTGGAATTAAACCAGGGATCATATATATGCAAAGTATATGCTTTATTGCTCAGTTATACTGGTAACATATGAGCAACAGCATCTTATATTTATTGTATATTGATCACAAACCTGTAAAGCTTCATGGATATTTCCATTGAAGTCAATGATTTCTGTGGCACCTTGGTCACCTTTTTCTCCAGGTGGACCCTATAAAAAAAGCACTGGAAATGTACAAACATGTCGCATTTGTCACAAGCCCACATAACAAAATGTGTTAATGAATCCAGTAAAAACAATTTCATTTTCCTAGCCTCGCTTTGCAAGTATAACTTATTACACTTCATTCCACTAGTATATGTGAACATTAATGTATTCCTAATTCCACCTATTTCCTAATTTAGCACTAAGGAAAGGCTCATAGGGATTAGGGAAAATTTTCTTTTTCCCAGCAGAGATTGTCTTTGCACAATGTGTTCAAACTGTTTTTTGACAACTGATTCCATTTTTGTTGGTAGTCTATCAAAAATGGTAGAAATTATAATTATTTCAGTGTCTTTATTGTGAGTTCTAAATATGGTTGCTATACCTGTTGTCATTAGCTTAGTCTGCTCTACAGTTACAATGAGTTTCTTTGTAATTTTTATTATATACTTTGAATACATTGTACAATTAACCCGCTTTCTTGAGAAATCTATAATTCTGAAAAACATGGAAGAAGGGAAAAAGAAGATCACTAGTAGCAAAGTGAATGGTCTCAGCTGCTGTGTATTTTCACAGCTACAGTATAGTGTCATCAGCAAAGCACAGATTATTGATATTTATTGGACTATTAGCACATGTTAAATCTAATCCCAATCATATCAATATTAGTTTGCAATATCTAGAATGCAACTCCAGTTATATCTAATCACCATTTCTTTTTTCTTTTTTTTTTTGAGAGAGAAAAAGATCTCCAATCTATTTTATAGTCTGTGAGTATATGTATGTAACTTAGTTTCATATATCAGTTATTTAATGCACAAGGTTGTAGATGTGTAAATTGTAGTAGGTGCTATGTTTAAAAACAACACCAAATCATTTAGAGTCAGGCGACATTCATTTAATAAATTATTATTAATAATAGTGGACAAATATTTGTGAGAATCAGTATGCTATATGTTAATGAATAATGATTATTTATTAAATAATGATTATTTATTAAATGTGAAAGGACTGCCTATTGGAGGATGCATATTAATACCTCAGTGCTGTTAGAATACATTTGATCACTACTCACTTTTTTCAATGCATTATTGAAATGGATCTTATAATTCTAAATCAGTGTTGGTCAACTCCCAGAATTCCCCATCCAGCACTCTATAAAGCAAAGTATAAAGGCTGAGGAATTCTGGGAACTGAGGTCCCACATTTACCAATACTGAGAAACATTGATATAGATTATATAATCAGACCTGAAAATAATGACTTAATCCCTTTGCCTCAAGGGAGTTATTTTGCATACTGTCAGTTAAGGAACATATTTCAGCTCACTTACCCTTGGTCCCACTGCTCCCAAATCACCGTTATTTCCTGGATCACCCTAATAGGGAAAAAAATTTGCTGTTACAGAAGAAAACTACAGTCACCAAAACCTCCCAACAGAATTTTGAAGTGGGTGCCAAAATTGTATTAATTTTTTCGAAGATGAAAGCACTAAGAGAAGGCTGGGAATACCATAAGCCAATAAGCTCCTGCAGTAGCCTGATCAATAAAGATTGCAAAGTAATCATTTAGTTATTGATTTGCTTGAGGGAGTCACCAAAAAGGTTCTCACTCCCTCTTAAACAAAACAGAAACAGCCTCCTCTGTTCTCAGTAAATCTTAAATACATTTGAACAATTTACAATAATTACAAGAGATTGGTATGAGGAGATAACTGTCTTGTTATGGCATGTTTCTTGCATATAAATTGTTCAATGAAAGTTCTGAAGCTGGCATGGCTGTAATATTGTGGGCAGCTGTTTTCCTCAAGAGCTGCAATGATGGTTGCAGAGAAAACATTTTATAACTGCAGATGATTGGGAGAAAAAGAAACAGCTTTTTAAAAGCTGGGTACATGGCAAGGAGGGTGTTGCTTTTGTAAAAGTAGGCAAAAATCAAACCTGTTTATCAAACAGGGATTATGAATTGATTCTAATCATTCTAATCTTCCTATGAAGAAAAAGATAACGTGGAATGAATAGGGAAGAACTGCAGTAAGGGCAATGTTTGGATAAGTGGCTGCTTAGCCACAGAAAAATGTGGCCATGGGAAATATCTCAGAAAGGATCCTCCCTAGTGTGTGGGGGTGAGGGTGCTGTAAAGGTAACGGAGAAATGTACTTTGAGGCTTGAAAGATTCTATTAATGTAACCTTACAAAAAAGTAGAAAGAGTATTTCTGGGTTTGTTTCTTTCCTGGATTACCTTGCAGGGCTGGGCTGTCAGCTTTCTAGCTGACAAACTCAGCATCTTAACTGCTGAGCCATCACACCCCCTTATGAAGAGAAGGACTAGGGATGACATGATAGCTGAGGGGATGTCTCAGAGAAGAGGAGGCCAACCTATTATCCAAAGCACTTGAGGGCAGGACAAGAAGCCACTGGTGGAAGATCATTACAGAGAAATCCAACCTGGAACTAAAGAGAAATTTCCTGACAGAATAATTAATCAGAGGAATGGCTTGCTTCCAGAAGTTGTGGGTGCTTCATCATTGGAAGTTTTCAAGAAGAGATTGGACAACATTTGTACAGGATGGATGAGGACTCCTGTTTGAGCAGGGGGTTGGAGAAAAAGAACTCTAAGGTCCCTTCCAGCCCTGTTATTTTATGTTATTCTATGTTCTAAGACTCTTTAACAATAAACATTGCTTACATTCATAGCAATTAAAATGTCAGAAATGCTTCAAGTTACGGTTAGAGTTAATGAATATCTCAAAGTATTTCCTCCAATTTGAGGCCTCCTGGGTATGTTTGTTTGCAATACTTAGAATTTACTCCACCAACTGTAATCTGGACTGTTAGCTAAAACTTAAAATTCTATATGTCCAGAAGACAACAGAAGGCATTTTCCAAAAAAAGGTCTTTGTATACTTTCCTGTCAAGAAAGTTTTAACCATCAGTTTGAAAGAGCAAGGCCAATTCAGAAAATTGTTCATTGTAATTACATAAGTCTGTAGTCACCAGGTTCTGATGTGATATACAAATTTCCAGACAAAACTGAATTTCCATGCTTATGATAATTGACTTTTGTAATGCATTATATATGGGGATAAATTCAAAGATTACCTCAAAATTTTACTAATTTACCAGATATATAATTGTTAAAAATAAGGATTTTGCATCTATTATAGAAAAATGCCAACAGCCAGTTTTTTCCAAGCACAATGGAAATCTGGAGATTTATTCCCATGTTTAAAATTCAAATAATCAGAGAAAGCTGTCTTTTATCTAATGATACCACAAAGCACCTTTTTTTGGCAATAAAACCCTGGCTTTCTGAAAGCAGGTTATCAGAAATCTATTCTGTCATCTTTTTTGCCTCAGGTCAAAAAAGATTCAGTTATTCCATACTTTTAACATTTTCACTTTTCATTCAGAGCATGCTGTGCCTCTAACTGCTAGTCTTAATGTCTAATGTCAAATAGTATGTAATGTCTCGTTTAATTTTAGTGTAAACCTAAATACTGTACTAAAATGTGGTACTAATCAACGAACTGGAAGAAAAGACAGGACCTTATATAGCAAAGAACTCAGAAATAACGGAAAAGGGAGTTAACTGGGGAGTGAAAACTTTCACTAGGAAAAGCTAAGGGTTATATACACTTTGTCTTTTCAGTTACTGAAAATAATTTTACTACTTTTTAAATTGATAGTCTTTGAACATTCTAGTAAACGAAACAGACAATGACATGTGCTTACTTATACATAGCACCCCATCCACATACAGAATTCACACATGCAAAAATGGCAGTAAATAAATAACTGTGTTGGTTTAGTGTACTTAACCAATAAAACCAGATGTTGCTAATGACTGACCTTTGACCCTTTAGGGCCTCTAGTTCCAGATTCACCTGACCTCCCCTGCATGTTGGAACACATACAAAATGGAGAGGAGACAGAAAAAGTAAAAAGAGAAATATGAAGAATTAGTTTTGTCTACAGGATGTAAACGTGTAGAAGAAACTATGTATATTAAAATAGTTGCTATTATAAAGTTACACTACAGAGACAAATGTAAATATAAGAAGTTGAGTAATCATGCATGTTACGATGATTTAATACAAGAGGATTATTAGAAGAAAATCTGAATGTGTTTTGTACATGTTCCATGGAATATTATTTCCTCAACTCCCTGAAAAATATCCTATGACTTCTAAGTGAAGATGTCAGATATAATCCCGCCTGGACTATTGCAACGCTCTCTACATGGGGCTCCCCTTGAGGTGCACCTGGAGGCTCCATCTAGTTCAGAATGCGGCCGCGTGGGGGATTTGGGGGGCCTCTAGATACTCCCATGTAACACCTCTCCTGCGCGAGCTGCACTGGCTGCTGGTGGCCTTCTGGGTGCGCTTCAAGGTGTTAGTAACAACTTTTAAAGCGCTCCATGGCAATGGACCTAGGTATTTGCAAGACTGCCTCCTACCAAATATCTCCCTTCGACCAGTCCGCTCCCACAGAGAGGGCCTCCTTAGGGTGCCATCGGCCAGTCAATGCCAGCTGGCGACCCCCAGGGGGAGAGCCTTCTCTGTGGCAGCTCCTGCCCTCTGGAATGACCTACCCCCCCGACCTACGTATATAAATTAAATTAAATAAATAAATAAATAAATAAACTACGGACCTGCGCCTCTTCCGCCGAGCCTTGAAAACCCATCTATTCCATGTGGCCGGCCTGGCGTAGTTTTGATTGGGCTTTGCTAGGGGTTTTATATGGGGTATTTTAGAGCAGGCTTTTATTCAATATTTGTTGTGATTTTTATTATTGCCTGTTCACCGCCCTGAGTCCCATAAGGGAGATAGGGCGGTATATAAATTTAAATAATAAATAAATAAATAATAAATAAATAAATATAATTTGTAAGCTGAAAATATTTGTTTGAGTCAATCATTTTCTTTCCTACATTGCCTTAGAAATGAGAATTCACCTCTGGCAACTTACAGACCAATACTTTAGTGCTCTTTCTTATCACTAACTTATGTTCTTTAACAAAAATAGCCTCCTTCCAGATCATGCAAAAGATTTAATAAAAATATCAATAGAATTTCTGAATGTACTGGAATCAAGAAACTCACAATTATGCACAATTATAGAAAAAAATGTCACAAATAGTAGAAATTAAATAAAAAGACACTTTGAAGTATTTTGGAAAATGTTTAGTTATGCTGTATGAAATCACATTTGTTAAGTCTCCATTTTCTGTTCTTATTCCTTTTAAAATTCAAATAGTCCCTCAATCTGAATTTCTTGGTAAAACACTGGGGAGAATTCACTGATGCACAAAGAATTTGACACCTAGTCAGAAGCACTTCGCTTGATGGGGTCAAAGGGAACAAATGATGAAAACAGCATTATATTGATACAATGTAAGCTCTGTTCCTTTTGTTCATAGGTTGTGACATCATATTAATGTACAAAAGGAGAGGAACATGTATCATTCTGATGAAAGGGGAAGATCCTGCAGAAGCATACTACATCCTGGACTTTGCCTTTATTTTGGCTAATCTTAACAACAATAACAACAACAAAACACCTAGAGAGGGCTGGATCAGTTTAGTACTTAGATAGGAGATCCCCATTAATTCCAAGGCTACCAGTTGAATTGGGAATTGGAAAAACATCCTGGAAGAAAGTAATGATAGACCACTTTCATATTATTGCCAATAAAATTGCATAGAAATATCCCTGCAGTCACTACAGTAGAAGGTGAGCAAAATCCATCAGATTCTATTTTCACTACAGTTTTGTTCCGAAGATCAGCCAAAACATTTTACTTTTATTTATTTAAAATATTTATATAGCCACCCATCTTATCACTAACTGTTTGGTCTTATCTATGATGTATGATCATTTCATATAAAGCAGGATATTATTATGCATAGGTTTTAAATTGCTAATGAAAACCTAGAAAATCAGTTGAGTTGCTCCGCAAAGTACAATTTTAAAGGTCCTTCCTTCCTTCCTTCCTTCCTTCCTTCCTTCCTTCCTTCCTTCCCTCCCTCCCTCCCTCCCTCCCTCCTTTCTCTGTCTGTCTTAGACAAAATTACTAACCGTATAGAATTTTGAAAATTCTACTTTAAATGATGAAATCTGTTTATTATTATTTTTTATTTTTATTTATTAAATTTATATATTTAATTTAAAGTTAAATTAAATATATATAAATATATATATTTATTTAAAGTTGCCTCTATGAGCACTCTAACCTTATAGTTAGGAATCAGAATTTTGTTATACTTTTATTTACCTGTTATGTCTAAAGCACTTTAATTCCCATTAAGTATGACTATAAGTAATATTTGCATAGCATCCGTTTTTGATTATTAATATGAAACTTCTCCATTTGTTTAATTAACTTTGACTGGACTATGTGGTAAAAATGAATGACATATATTTAAATAACTTGGAATACATGTTCAGTCACAATGAAATTGATTTTTCTGGTTCTATTTAACATCCTGAAACAAAAGATGTCTTTAAAAAACGTGCTAAACACAGAGTTCTCAAAGGCCCTCTAAATATTTCAAAGTGAAACCAAACTGACCTTTAGCCCTGGAGCTCCAGGCTCACCTCGTTCACCTTTCCCAGGAGCTCCTACTTCTCCTCTTTCACCCTGTTAAAAATCATAGCACATACACACAGAAGCATCATAAAACATCAGTAACTTTTGGTATTGATGAGAGTTGCTGTTGAGACATCAAAGAGAAGTAATATCAAAGAGTATGTCAAACTGGCAATTGATCAATACATACATTAGTACAAACCTCTTCTGAGAAGGAGAGTGTGAATAGATTACAGTGTATATGTTTTTCCCCCCTTCTGATTTGTCAAAAGTAAATAATCCCTGAACATTATGAATAAAATAGGAATAATTACAGGTGGAAAAAAGAGGCAAACAGATAATGTTTCCCATATTTAAATTGTCCAACTTTCATTTATTGGTTTTAGTTTTAGGTATTGATAACTCCAACTGGTTTCACAAAATAAAAGCAGCTTTAGGCAATACGGTCCCTCTTTTTAAAAAGAGAATGAGATGAAGTCTCGGTTGTACAATTAAGAACGCATATAAAATAATCACACTTGCATCATTTCCTATAGAGTTCATAGTGGTTTAATTTAATTAATTTATTTTACACACATTACACATTTTGTAATGGGTTGAGTTGTGATCTCAGTCTGATAAACTTTCTCTTTAGTAAGACTTTAATGGTTGTGGAAGGAAATGTCTATTCCAACGATTAGGCTCCAACTGATCTGATACAGAGCAAATTGTATGTAATAAGGAAAAAATGTAAATTGTACCTTTGTTCCTGGCAATCCTGGCAATCCAGGTTCTCCCTGTGGACCTAGGAAACCCGGTTCACCCTTTTAATAAATAAGCATATTAAAACTTTGTTAATTTAACTGTGAATAATTATAGAAAACATGAATTTTCTTGCAGTTATGTTTTCCCTAGTCACATTTCTAGCTGTAACCCAATAGCTATGGACAGCTACAATTAATCATGTTTGATTTCCATCAGCAAAGAATTCTTCAAGAAAACCCCCACCCAACTTAAGAAAAGCAAGTGAACCAGAAGCTTTTATAGCATAAGACTTTATGAAATGAATACCTGATATATATCCTCCAATTTTTAGAATTTTAAAGGATATATATATATATATATATATATATATATATATATCTTATATTAAGTTAGTTTATGGCAGGAAAAAACTAATTGAGGCAATATACTATTGAAAAAGAGAAATAATTCTACTTAGACATCACTTGCAAATTACAAAATATTAAAAACACACATTCAATTTACAGTATTTGGTAGTATTCCATTCATAGGACTATGGGCAGGATACAANATATATATATATATATATATATATATATCTTATATTAAGTTAGTTTATGGCAGGAAAAAACTAATTGAGGCAATATACTATTGAAAAAGAGAAATAATTCTACTTAGACATCACTTGCAAATTACAAAATATTAAAAACACACATTCAATTTACAGTATTTGGTAGTATTCCATTCATAGGACTATGGGCAGGATACAACAATCATATAACAACAACGTATTTGGACAAGGATTCCTAATATATCTGGGAATTTACTATATAGGACTTCACTGGTGTAAAGGAATAAAAATATGGCAGTAATATGTTGTTACTTGTGCCAATATAGCTAAGTTAAGTTTGTGGATATTTAGATGTACAACTTTTTCTACCACCCTCTTTCCACTTAAAAGTGTTCACCAGTGTTAATTAAAACGGTTTCCATTCTCTCTCAGGTTGGCAGGAGTGGATATCTTTCTAAAGCTTTCCCCAAGTCCCTCTGGGCTGAAAAGACATTCTCTCACTAGTTTACTGTTTCTTTGGTCTTCTTTGGACCCCAACCAAAAATACTATAGGAGTCTTACGTGAGCTTTCCTGTAACCAAGATGCCTTCAATAGTTCAAGTTGCCTAGAATCCATTGTGCTTCCTAATCTGTCATTTATTCTACTTCTCCAAAACTTTCTCTTCAAGTACAGCCACCCTGATTGTTTCATGTAACAATATTTCTGCTTTTTAGAAAGTTTGTTATCTGCTTTCCCGCACACGCTTTATTCATGAACTTGCTTGTCTGAAGCTCATGTGACATGATAGCAGACAGTGCTTGGCTGCTGTATACTGCTACACAGACCATACATGACTGTCCCCAAAGCTTTCTGGTCCAACTGTGTTTCTTACTGGTATATCATTCAAAGCTGCAGAGTAGCCAACTAGTCCCTATAATTTCTTTTCTTAACTCGAATTGCTCTTCCCTCGTTTTTGTCAATTGTTTTGATTAAGTTCATTCAAGAATTCCCATTTAGAGAGAGAGAGTAAACCAAAGTAGAAGTTTAGGAGCCCCAGCCCTCTTCCCATCTCTGTTACTTGCTTATCCTTTTTTCCTCCCAGGAGGTCTATCTTTTATCTTATTTTTACCAATCCAATTTTGTAGCTTTTAGGTTTTCTTGCACCCCTAAGATCTTTTATGCTTATCCTGATTTTCTTCAGCAGATATTAGAACCTGTTTAATTAAATTAGTGCCTTAGTTTTATTTTCTTAATGCAAATACCAGGCAATTAGGAATTTCATTTGCCTATAGTACATCTGATAAATTGAAATAAATAATCATTACCACATATGTTTTAAGATTTCCCTTTTAATTAAAAGAAATGTTTGATAATATACTATATGGAATCATTGGCATTACTAAGAAAATAGATTTCATCATTTATATTAAACTATATAATGAAAAAATAAATCTATCTTCTTGCTGGTTACAGCATTGCATAAATAAAATTAGTATGAAAAGCATTTCCTCGACATGAGTACAATGTCAGTTTTTCAACAGCTAGAAATAGAAAACTGTATTCAGACATGGTATAAAGGCATATCACTGAAAAAAGTAAACTGCAAAAGAAAGAACAAAATGAGTAAGAGAGGAAATAATTATGATATACACTGCAAATTGTATACAAAACTGTGAATGGTTTTCAAATGTATCCTTGTAATGTTTTTCTAACCATTTATGGAAACAACAATCATACTTATCATGGAAGGAATAATGAAGCCTTCAGCAATCTATTTGATAGGTTCAAACTTCTTGAGTACTCACAGACTTAATCTACCATAAAGCCAACTCAGTGGTTACTTTGTTCTTTAATCTGTTTAATCATGATTTCAAGGATGAGAAATAAAAATGGATTGTGTGATCAAAACTACTTTGTACTGTGAGCTTTTGAAAACGTCTTCAGTTTCAGAATGCCATGAGCCAGTTGATATCCTAGAAACATAATATGCACACTCAAAATACTGGCACATCAAAAATCACACCCATGTTCCATTTTCATTAATTCTCCATATCTCAAACTCTGCTGTGGTCCATACTCATTGATGCCAACTTTCCACAGAATACTGTTTATGTTTATGTAAGCCTATAAATACATGCAAATACTGTAAATACCTCTCCTCATTCCTTATTCTATTGGAAACTGTTGCTTTTAAAAAAACCCAAAGTCAAACCAAAGTACAATCCGAGATATCAATATCCTTCTTCAAGTTACTATGATATATTAAAAAAAACCTCAACTTCTTATCAAATGGACTAGAATAATATGATTTTCTATATTAATCTAGAAATGATCCCTAAGAATATTTTTAACTTTTAAAAAATGTTATCATTCAATAATGAAAATCAGCTATAGAACTATTCAGTTTACAGGGAAAAGAAGGTTGATTATATAAAAATAGTTTATAAAAGAAAATGTTCTAGCAGACTACCATATACTTTTGCTACAAATCACAATTGGCCCTATTTGTACTAGAAAATCATTACAGAGTTCTAAAGTGTCAAATTGAGCAATCATAATCACTCATGGCTAGGCACAAACAGATAGTTTATTGTTGATCACTTGTATTACAAGAATCTTGCCAGATGTCTGCTTTCCTTGGGAAATGGCAATGTAGATCTAAGGATTTGATCTCAAATCCCCAGATGGACCCTAAATTGGAATGTATCTTTTGCCACCCTGACCCCTCAATCAGTGGTTCCACCACAAAAGAGATATTGTTTCCTTTCTGAAGATAAGCATAAAAATCTCTGGGTTTTTTTTAACAGAAATTAAAAAGATATTGTAGCACCACATAGTAAAGAAAAAAATAACTTTCTTGAAGAAATATTTTTCATCCACCTTCTCCAACTAGAATTTCCTCAAAAAAATATGTTCCCTCTGTCTCAGTTAATGAATTGCCAGATTCCTTGGAAATCTGAACTTCAATCAGAGGTGGCTTTTCTCAGTTTTTTCCACGATGCTCTTTGAATTTGCCCTTTAAAAAGTCTAAAAATGTTCTATCATCAGAATGGAAGGATTCCATTCTGTGTATGTTTATGTGACAAAAATTCATGACTTTTCATGGAGATGGGAATTCTAAGTTTTCATTCTGTCCAAAGGGTTACTTATTGGGAAATATTTGATTCTGTTAGCTGACAATTATATTCACAACAGTAATATTTTTGGAATGTGAGATCAATTCCTATTTTCCAGATAGAGTTGGCAAATTTGAAATGAAACAAATAGTTAGTCCTTAAATTCTTCTGTACAAAGTTAGGCTTTAGGTTTAACTTCTAGTACACCACGAAAACACCATAGTGGGGGGGGGGGGAATACAAGAGCAATAACCAAAGTTGCCACACTGAATCACCATATTACTATGAAACCACCAATGCATCCACCTTAATGACAAATTTTGCTTGTTGGTTTATTTATTTATTCAGTTTGGAAGCTGCCAGGCTCTGTAGCAAATCTGAGCAGTTTATAGGTAATAAATTAAAACAAAACAAAACATATTAAGAAGAAAAACAAGATAGATGATCAGAAATCCTAAACCAAAAAGCCAATTGTCCAATAACAAACCAAAGGGACTCAACCCCCATACTAGCTCAGGGCCTGAGAAAACAGCCATGTTTTCAACAATTTACAAAAGGTAAGAAAGGTGAAAGCAGTACAGATCTCCAGGTGGACTTGAATTTAAGGATGGCTCTTACGTTTTATAACATGCCATTGCCTAATTAAGAGATCTGGAGCATGCCCCCTTGAGTTGATAAATCAAGCAGGTGGAAATATATGGAGAAATATAATGAGGCCCTATGCCATGCACAGCATTTTAGGTGATAACCAGCACTTGGAACTGCACTGAGAACCCAAATGGCAACCAGTGCAGCTGGAAAAACAGTGAGGAAAAATACTCATACCATAACATACCCATCACTGCCTGTGCTGCTGCGTTCAAGATAGCTGTAGCTTGCTAATGGTTTTCAAGAGCAACTCCGCTAGAGCATGGATCTATCCATCAGATTTCCATAATCCAGTTCACAGCAACCAACACAAGAGTGACTCTCAAAAGATCTTCCCAGTCCAGAAACTTGTGCAAAGGCCCACATGGCCACAATTGCCATTTGTTTTTCAAATATTAGCTGGGATTCCAAGAAGACCCCCAACTGTACACCAGCCTTGCATAGGAAACTACAACCCCCATAAACACTAAACTAAAGATAGAAGGACCCAAGAACCAGAGGGGGTGAAACAAAGAAAACAATTTTTGATGCAGGTTTTGCATTTAATTATTGGTAGCTCTAGGTAAAGCTAGACATACCAAGTGTTTATTTCTATCTTTTTGCTACCTTACTTCAGCTGAATCTTGCTACACTATAAGAGCCGTGGTGGTGCAGTGGTTAGAATGCTGTATTGCAGGTAATTCTGCTGACTGCCAGGGGTCCTCACCGGCTCCAGGTTGACTCAACCTTCCATCCTTCCGAGATCGGTAAAATGAGGACCCAGAT